TCGCTTTTAGCCCTGGCTAAATCTATATATTAAACAGACTGAAGACATTTATCAGGTGTAGTATCAGCAAGTTAATTTCCCTCTTGATATAACCCAAATTAAATGTCACATTTTTTTGGCGACTTAGACAAACATAATGAGGATTTGTTTGTACAGTTAACGTTAAGACCATCCTTGCTAGGTTTTGAATGATTTTAGGAGAAAAATAGAAGGTTTAACCCTGTTGATTCTAAAGTATAACCGTTAACGGACGCACTTTTTAAACAAAGTCATTCGATCACATTCCGGCAGTATGTCGTCAGAATTTTTTATGTTTATTTTTGAGAAAAACCAATTGGGGCTAACGTGCTCTCCTACAAGTATAGAAGTAGTTCTAGCTTACTATTTCGCGTAAGTAACCTAAACTAGGGGTACCTTCCGGGAAGTGCCAACGAGACGAATTCGTTTATCTTTTGTGGAATGTGCCTATCCAGATCTTCGCGATTTGTCACATAATTTTAGAAGTTTACAATGGATTTCGCTATAGAAAAGAATGGCACTCCACTAAAGAAAAAAACTTCGGTACATTCTAGGCTTTCCCTTCGCTTAAAAAATAACAACATACAGGCTTGAAGCTTTGTTGGTAAATTGGAGCAAGTTAGCACTATTCACAACCATAAGCGTTAGAAATTAAAATATAGTTCAAGTGAGGCCGGCCTTTGACTGCTTAAATTGAAAAATTAATATTAAATCTCGAGCTTGCACCGATCAAAGGCATCATCAGGGATAAGAAAAATATTCCTCATGGTAATGTACAAAGAAAAAAATTGGTGTAAGCAAAATGTGGGAAAAGCGCAAGAATGGGGAGGAATGTATCAGAGGTATAAAAAATTAAAAACTTTAATAAAATACAAAGACTAATGATCAAGTGGCAAGGGACAAAGAGTCTCTCTAAAGGCAAAATGATTCATAATGACGGTCTTTAAAACAAAAGGTCTGCAAACTCGTTGCATTCTTCATGGGCGTTTAGGGCTGTCTTTAATGTACATCGAGCTGCAAAAGGACACGAGCTGATTGGCAAAATCACTCCAAAGGCAAAAATAACTTTGAAAAAACAAAAGGTCCTCAAATGCGTTGCATTCCTCACAGGAGGTGAGGACCGGCTCGATGTAAATCGAACTGCGAAGAACACGCTGGCTCTGACAAACGTTTTGAGAATACAACCCTGTTCCTTGATTAGCTACCGTATAAAATTCATTTTACAAAGGAAAAGATAACACTGAGAACCCTGGTTCTGAGTCGAGAAACGAACAAGCTACATCAATGTAAATAGAATTGGAAGAACAAGCTGGTTCTGACAAAAATGGAACGTAAAGCCCTATTCCATGATCAGCTGCTGCTTTAACTCAATTTATGAAGCAAACCAGATCACTAATAGCCCTTTCAAATCTAGAAATCGTATTAAAGCTTGCTCACCTGTTAGGGCCTCTTAAAAAGAAAACAAGCAGCTGTAGAAGGGATCACCCAAGTTTCGAACCACGGAGTTGAAATTTCACGCCTTTTACCATTTCATTAATTAAGAAACTCCGCTGGTGATGAAAAACATTCCACACACATAAAGCATCTATTTCGCACGTTTACAAATATCTTCTTTCGAAACAGCGATTTAAAACAGTTTTTGGGCCATTCCTCCAAATAAAACCGGCAAACATGCACAGGTGAAACATTTTCCCAATCGAAGCGCTAAGCATGCTCGCCTCACCACAGACGTAAACGGGAAACCTCCCGATAAAAAGCCAGGCATTTCTGACTGGTCGTCTTTTTTGCGTCGGCGTAGCTTTAATATTTCAGTTCGTTTGGCAGAATGGCCGGGCTGCTTCAAAAGCATGTTGGCTTTCGTGATTCATCCTCAGAATACCAAAAATTCTTCGTGTGTTGGCGCAAGATGTGCCTTATGGTAGTATTGTATGAAAGCGTACGTTTTATAGAAACGACGACTTGTCAATGTCGGCAACTTAAACTAAACCGGTTGTCAACGCAAATTAACACCTATTGTCTATGACCAATCAAACGCCTGCGTTGCAGGTACAACGCAGTCCGTGAACGCGAGCTGCAGTGATGTTATTACAGTCCCTCTATTTATCTCGTCCCCCTCCCCCTACAGCTATAATCCTCGACGCCTGCCCCCTCGGTACATTTGAAAATCAAAGTGGCCTCCATTAACAGATGATGCAAGCTACTCAGGGGCTGTGACTTCTTGAAGACAGGAAAAAGGTGATAATTCGTTGTAGTAGCAACTTACATATAACAGGAGTTTAATCGCCAGGCGCCTGATCAGTTCACCGACGGAGCCGTGTGGAGCAAATCGTGCTCGGACGAAGACCCCTTTCCTGATCAACAGCGTTGTAGTTTTCCTTCAAACCGTGATAATCCTTTTCACAACGATACCTTAAAATAACGACGCATGGACGGTAATCACTTGTAACGCTCTTAGTGCTGATGAGGTTTTTTTCGCTCTCCATGTTCTTCTTTTGCACTGCCAAATTGAAGCGATTCATTCTTCGCTGATGAAATGGATTCGGTTGACCAAACGTATCAATCTTTGAGCTTTGAAAATTATGCAAATCAACCCATGGCGGACACCTCAAACAACCGGACAGTATAAAACACGGACTGCGGACTACGGACTGCGGACTGGGTATAAAATATGGACTAGGTATAAAACGCGGACTGGAAAATACGGACTGGGTATAAAACACGGACAGGGTATAAAATACGGACTACGGACTACTTTGGTAAAAACGGTGCTAATTGGTTCTAGGTAAGGAAAAATAGGATCAAAAGATCGCTAAATAACAAGACACGTGAGTTCTTGGTGGAGGTGTGCCGCCCGATTCTCTGAATGATGAGCCGGATCAAGATGTTATTTTCTTCACCCATTTTCATACCTTGGGGGTGTACTCCCTTATATAAGGGAAGGGTAGGGGTTTTGGGCTTTGGTGTGGAATCGGGTATGGTTTTCGAGGGAACTACGGGAGCTTACATGAATGGACGTATTTATCGTTTCAGTTCCAGATGAATAACAACGAAATAGAAAAGTGCGAATTCGAAATGCATTTGGAGAATTTTTTGTTTTCGCTCTAACTTGGTAAAAAGGCGCATGGCTGCTACAGCAATAAGTAACGACAGGGACCAACAAATGCCCGGCCACTGCTTATTATCAGCAAGTTGTCAAAGAAGATATGACCAATGTGGCAACAGGAAGGCGTTAAGCTAAGGTTTGTGCTAAGAAGCACACTAACCCACCGGTAGAAAAAAGCATGTTTCTGTTTCTCTGCGTGGTTTGCTGTCTTCATTTTCGAAATACCCGTGGTCATATGCATTTTTCACGTCAAAATCGGCGGAATTTGGCGAAGTGTTATCTCGAGTAGGACATTTTACATTGGCGTACACCGACGTACGGGGGTAAATTGACGTTATAACCAATGAAAGAAAAATGGTAAACATTGCAGCCGTGCAGCAATCGAGCTATGGATGCACGCGGGAGGTTGCCAAGCACGAGAAAAGCGTTATGTTGATTGCAAAAAAACCGTTTACGTCAGCTGAAGCGGCTTTCTAAACTCTTTCTCAGTACTAACACAAAAACATCAATATAATGCGAAATATTTATCCAAATTTAATGATAAAAATGCTTTCAGGAGATAAAAAAAAAATGTATATATTTTTTCCAGATTTTACTAGCTGATTGCATAGGCGTATGTGCGTACACGCACGCTACATTCCTGGTTGGAGAAATTAACCGAGCTGGGCCAAGCTTTACACGGGGTAACATTTTGTTGTTGACAAAGAACCGCCGAAGCAATTTTTTGGTCTACTTTTGAAGGAAAAGTGGATTTGTTTCAATCATAACATAGTTTGACAACTTTAACACAGAAGGCCAACTGATCGAAGCTAGACGTAAAGCTCACAATAAACCCATTAATACTGTTACGAGACTTCTCTCCCTGGGAATGAAGAAAAACAATATGGCCGCCCAATACATACTTTTAGTTTTTAAAGTTCTCCCATTAGTAGAAAACGTTGAACATTTATTTCGGCAAACAAACAGTTACGTTGAAAAAGGATTTTACAAAAGTCTCAAGACTAGGTCTCCTTTTCGATTTAAACTTGCAATATCGGTCAATTTACGCAACTTTTAAGCTTCTGGCTCAGTTTTCGTTTGGTTCTGCTTTGAATTTGAATAATAATTACTCAGAGATAATACAGTGTAAAGAATTGTTGAGGAAAACATAACTTGCCAATTTATGACAAAAAGGCACTTTAAAAACGAACTAAAACATTCAAAACGCTTTGATCACGTGACTGATAACGTCATGTCCCTATTTTGGCCAAGAAAAAATTATCAGTTAGAACATTACCTTCCCGCAAATTTTCTCTGTCGTGTGATAAAAGGTTGACTCTCTACATCCCTCGGCCTAGTCTCCCGACGTTTTCGCTCATGTTTATTACCCCCTTATATTTTAAATGCCGGACGTCAACCGGTTATTTTCAAATTCCCCCACCCCTTAACTAAAACCTCAATTCGGCTATTTGTTTTTAACTCGTTAACAAAATCTTGTCACAGCAGCAAACAAACCTAATTCGGAATAGTCACGTGACTGAGGACGTTATTACCTTAGATGTGATGTGGGAAGATATTTCATGGCAAATGTTTTCTTCTTGTGGACTGACATTCTTCTACGTATAGAATTGTCAAAGTTGTAAAGCTTTTAAAGGATTCTGGGATAATTTTTTTATGATAATTATAATTTACTTTTATAATTATCATTTATTAGATAGATCCTCAACTACTGTACGCACATGAGTAAAACCACAAGACACCTTTTCAATGCTTTATTTAAATCAACAGTACCACCCTAATTTCACAACTACATTTAATTTCGTTACATCAAGTTTTCTGTTCATGGGACACGTCATCTTTGCAGTACCGTTGGGCTGTCAATAACTTAACTTTCAATCAGTTAAGGCTTAGGACGTCTACTGGGCCGGAGCTTCTTGCATATTTTCCGCAGTTTTTGGCAAATCTTTTTCTAAGAGGGAGAGAAGATGAATTGAGTGAATTTTTTAATACCTCTGTGGTAGGATACTTCTAAAACTTTGTTGATTTTTTTTAATCACATGTCAGGATTTTCATTGATTGATGCTGGCCGTCTTTATCATTTGACGCTAATTGATCAGTGAATATGAAAAAACTGAGCTATGATTACTTTATTGACAAAAGGGTAATCACTCTTTCAAACATATAACAACCTACCCCGGCTGAAAAAAATAACTAAAGAGCTAGCTCACCTGGTGCATGTATTGCATCAAGTCGTATAAAAACAATATAAGTTGACTACACGCTTTTGCTGTAAAGCTACGTCTCGACATCAAAGTATAAGGGTTCAAAATAAAGACAAGGAAGATCTTACCTTGATGGGACGTGTGGGACGAGGACCAGTTGGCTTCTTTAAGCATTTCTTAAAATATAGCTTGCACTTTTTAAGAGAAAAGAATTAAACTATGTGAGTTTTATAATAATGGCTCAATGATACGTTACCGTTTATCTTAAAACACCGTTTGCTAGGATTTTATTAATGATACCATTCTTTATCACCGTGATGCCAATCACCAGAAAAAAGGGTATGGCTATTTTTTTGACAGAGTTATCGATCTAACATGTTAACCAGATAAAATACGGAATTTCCGGGTTGAGGGAGCGTGATTCTTCCGAAGTTCCCCTCAGCACCTATTTTATAAGGACGTGAAAGGGAGTCTTAAACAAATTAAGTTTGCTACTTTAAGCTGATTGTGCAAATCCCAGTAGTTTGTTTAGGATTGGTGACAAGGTAGAAGATCTTACAGCCCTCGGAGGGCCGCTTGGACGGGGACGACGACGGGAATGGCAAGCTCGGCAATGGTTTCATCATCCTCTTCATCTAACAACTCCGCGACTGCCTCATCCTCAAAAGGCTCCTCAGCCAGGGTGGCGACTGACGCTCCGAGAAACAGGAGAACAAGTAGAGATTTCATTTCCCAACCAAAGTTCACTGCTAAATATCTGTTAGCAATGTGACTAACAAAGTTCTGCGCGCGGCCCTTTTTACGGACTCGTGACCCTGTTAAACGTTAGGCATATAACAAAAGCGCTGGCAAACACACATTTGCTGATTATTGTTTATTTTCCGTTAGGCGCGAGAGTGATAAACATCTTATTGACTCTTATATCAACAGCCGGGATGTTTATCACCTTTTTCCTTTGTGAGCAGCGGTGTATTGTGTGCCATCTTTTATCTTTTTCGGTTTAACCCCTTTTGTTCAACCTTGTGTTTATTTTGCGCCAAGCTTGAAGATAAATATTTTACTTTGCGTTTGGAAGTTACTAAAATATTTACTACAGGTGCATCTTCGCACCCACAACACTCCCAAACGCACACATTCTCCCTAACTTCTATCTTTCGTTAGGGATCCCATACTTTGAACACCCGTAATGCCACAAAGGTTGTTAGATGAATATACTGTTGTTGTTGCTGTTGTTGGTTTTTTTTTCTTTACAAAGCAAAAAGTGATAACTGCGATGATCATCCTTCATTTAATTTAATTTTATTTCATCTTCTTATTTTTGTAAGTATGTCTTTTATACTGCCATTTCATTTCATTTACTTATAAACTTATCTCAACCCTTTTTTCTATTTTAGCACCTAATTACTTGAGGTAGACATAGAGTTTGCCGGTCCCTCATTATTAGTGCAAATCTTAACATCTAACTTTGTTTTTTTTGCTTTCTATAAGTAACTTTTGTAGTTGCAAAGAGAAAGCCTGAAAAAACTCAGGCTTGTACGGGATTCGAACCCTTGACCTCTGCAGTACCGGTGCAGCGCTGTACAAATTAGGGAGTTTAAGATGCCCCTACGGCGACGGCAACGAGAACGTCAAAAAGCAATTGGTTAAGATTAGCAAAACAACAACACGCTTTTTTGTACATTTCTTTGCCGTCACTGCACGACTACGACGTGAATTGCCTAATTTCACGTTTTATCGACAACGTGAACATACGACGACGAATCTCTCTTACTCTTTGTATACCTGGATTTTTTTCTTAAGAATTCAACTGTGGGAGAGTTCGCTTACATAAAACATAGTGACCGAGTTGGGATAATCGCGCTAAAGTTTCATAGATCGAGGAGTCACTTTTTAAGCGATGTTTTTGCCGCCGTCGCCGTCGTGGTATCTTAAACTCCCTATTAAGCTAACAAGCCAACTGGGAGCAGGGCGTTGAATTGGATCGTTTACTATAAATTATCCTTCATTTAATTCGTCACTCCGCAGTTCATATATATGATTTTCATATATTCAAAACTTCAAAATAAAATTAGTTGAAAGGCTAAAATTGGATTCGAGGTTAAAAGAAGAGGAAGAGAAAAAATTACTTGAGATGTTAGGATAAGTATTAGCAATGAGGGAGCCTTCGCGGAATAGCGCGGAACATCACCGATTCCGCCCTGATTCAGGGTGCCTTTTGTACTTTGAAAGGCGCATGGCTGCTACAGCAATAAGTAACGAGAGGGACCGACAAATGCCCGGCCACTGCTTATTATCAGCAAGTTGTCAAAGAAGATATGACCAATGTGGCAACAGGAAGGCGTTAAGCTAAGGTTTGTGCTAAGAAGCACACTAACCCACCGGTAGAAAAAAGTATGTTTCTGTTTCTCTGCGAGGTTTGCTGTCTTCATTTTCGAAATACCCGTGGTCATATGCATTTTTCACGTCAAAATCGGCAGAATTTGGCGAAGTGTTATCTCGAGTAGGACATTTTACATTGGCGTACACCGACGTACGAGGGTAAATTGACGTTATAACCAATGAAAGAAAAATGGTAAACATTGCAGCCGTGCAGCAATCGAGCTATGGATGCACGCGGGAGGTTGCCAAGCACGAGAAAAGCGTTATGTTGATTGTAAAAAACCGTTTACGTCAGCTGAAACGGCGTTCTAAACTCTTTCTCAGTACTAACACAAAAACACCAATATAATGCGAAATATTTATCCAAATTTAATGATAAAAATGCTTTCAGGAGATAAAAAAAAAATCTATATATTTTTTCCAGATTTTACCAGCTGATTGCATAGGCGTATGTGCGTACACGCACGCTACATTCTAGCCTGCGCGCAGACGAAATTAAACTCTGGTTAACTCCGTCTGCGAAACAGCGCCGAAATCCTTGTTCTGGACTTCCAGCTGTGTACCCAGATTTGAGTACGCGCCACGATTGGCCAGTTAAAAAAAGCCTTTGTTTTGTTTGTCGTGATCGCCAATCAGCTTGAAGGGGAACTCGAAACGCACTTCCGGTAATTCGTTGAGTCCGTTGGGGGTCCAGAACAAGGATCTTGGCGCTGCTTCGCAGACGGTACTAATCAGAGTTTAGTTATCGTCTGCACGCAGGCTAGCTACATTCCTGGTTGGAGAAATTAACCGAGCTGGGCCAAGCTTTATACGGGGTAACATTTTGTTGTTGACAAAGAACCGCCGAAGCAATTTTTTTGTCTACTTTTGAAGGAAACGTGGATTTGTTTCAATCATAACATAGTTTGACAACTTTAACACAGAAGGCCCACTGATCGAAGCTAGACGTAAAGCTCACAATAAACCCATTAATACTGTTACGAGACTTCTCTCCCTGGGAATGAAGAAAAACAATATGGCCGCCCAATACATACTTTTAGTTTTTAAAGTTCTCCCGTTAATAACAAACGTTGAACATTTATTTCGGCAAACAAACAGTTAAGTTGAAAAAGAATTTTACAAAAGTCTCAAGAGTAGGTCTCCTTTTCGATTTAAACTTGCAATATCGGTCAATTTACGCAACTTTTAAGTTTCTGGCTCAGTTTTCGTTTGGTTCTGCTTTGAATTTGAATAATAATTACTCAGAGATAATACAGTGTAAAGAATTGTTGAGGAAAAAATAACTTGCCAATTTATGACAAAAAGGCACTTTAAAAACGAACTAAAACATTCAAAACGCTTTGATCACGTGACTGATAACGTCATGTCCCTATTTTGGGCAAGAAAAAAATTATCAGTTAGAACATTACCTTCCCGCAAATTTTCTCTGCCGTGTGATAAAAGGTTGACTCTCTACATCCCGCGGCCTAGTCTCCCGACTTTTTCGCTCATGTTTATTACCCCCTTATATTTTAAATGCCCGACGTCAACTGGTTATTTTTAAATCCCCCCCCCCCTCACCCCTTAACTAAAACCTCAATTCTGTTATTTGTTTTTAACTCGTTAACAAAATCTTGTCACAGCACCAAACAAACCTAATTCGGAATAGTCACGTGACTGAGGACGTTATTACCTTAGATGTGATGTGGGAAGATATTTCATGGCAAATGTTTTCTTCTTGTGGACTGACATTCTTCTACGTATAGAATTGTCAAAGTTGCAAAGCTTTCAAAGGGTTCTGGGATAATTTTTTTATGATAATTATAATTTACTTTTATAATTATCATTTATTAGATAAATCCTCTACTACTGTACGCACATGAGTAAAACCACAAGACACCTTTTCAATGCTTTATTTAAATCAACAGTACCACCCTAATTTCACAACTACATTTAATTTCGTTACATCAAGTTTTCTCTTAATGGGACACGTCATCTTTGCAGTACCGTTGGGCTGTCAATAACTTAACTTTCAATCAGTTAAGGCTTAGGGCGTCCACTGGGCCGGAGCTTCTTGCATATTTTCCGCAGTTTTTTGCAAATGTTTTTCTAAGTGGGAGAGAAGATGAATTGTGTTAATTTTTTAATAGCTCTGTGGTAGGATACTTCTAAAACTTTGTTGATTTTTTTTAATCACATGTCAGGATTTTCATTGATTGATGCTGGCCGTCTTTATCATTTGACGCTAATTGATCAGTGAATATGAAAAAACTGAGGTATGATTACTTTATTGACAAAAGGGTAATCACTCTTTCAAACATATAACAACCTACCCCGGCTGAAAAAAATAACTAAAGAGCTAGCTCACTTGGTGGATGTATTGCATCAAGTCGTATACTTGGATGGGGACGATGATGGGGGTCATTCGCTTCATCAGCAAGCTCAGCAATGGTTTCATCACCCTGTTCATCTAACAACTCCGCGACTGCCTCATCCTCAAAAGACTCCTCAGCCAGGGTGGCGACTATCGCTCCGAGAAACAGGAGAACAAGTAGAGATTTCATTTCCAAAACAATGTTCACTGCTAAATATCCGCTAGCAATGTGAATAACATAGTTCTTCGCGCGGCCCTTTTTATGGGCCCGTGACCCTGATGAACGTTAGGCATATAAGAAAAGCGCTTGCAAACACACATTTGCTGATTATTGTTTATTTTCCGTTAGGCGCGAGATTAATAAATATCTTATTGACTCTTATATCAACAGCCGGGATGTTTATCACCTTTTTCCTTTGTGAGCAGCTGTGTATTGTGTGCCATGTTTTATCTTTTTCTGTTTAACCCCTTTTGTTCAAAGTTATGTTTATTTTTTGGCGACAAGCGTGAAAAACTTGTGTACACTTTTTGCTTTGTAAAAACAAATGACCAACAACAACAACAGTATATTTATCTTGCAACCTTTGTCGCATTACGGGTGTTAAAAGTATGGGATCCCTAACGAAAGATAGAAGGGAAGGAGAATGTGTGCGTTTGGGAGTGTTGTGGGTATAGAAAGCAAAAAAAAGTTAGATGTTACGATTTGCACTAATAATGAGCGATCGGCAAACTCTATGTCTACCTCAAGCAAGTGCTAAAATAGAAAAAAAGGTAGAGATAAATTTATAAGTAAATGAAATGAAATGGCAGTATAAAAGACATACTTACAAAAATAAGAAGATGAAATAAAATTAAATTAAATGAAGGATGATCATCGCAGTTATCATTTTTTGCTTTGTAAAAAAAACCAACAACAACAACAACAGTATATTCATCTAACAACCTTTGTGGCATTAGTCGCATTACGGGTGTTCAAAGTATGGGATCCCTAACGAAAGATAGAAGTTAGGGAGAATGTGTGCGTTTGGGAGTGTTGTGGGTGCGAAGATGCACCTGTAGTAAATATTTTAGTAACTTCCAAACGCAAGGTAAAATATTTATCTTCAAGCTTGACGCAAAATAAACACAAGGTTGAACAAAAGGGGTTAAACCGAAAAAGATAAAAGATGGCACACAATACACCGCTGCTCACAAAGGAAAAAGGTGATAAACATCCCGGCTGTTGATATAAGAGTCAATAAGATGTTTATCACTCTCGCGGCTAACGGAAAATAAACAATAATCAGCAAATGTGTGTTTGCCAGCGCTTTTGTTATATGCCTAACGTTTAACAGGGTCACGAGTCCGTAAAAACGGCCGCGCGCAGAACTTTGTTAGTCACATTGCTAACGGATATTTAGCAGTGAACTTTGGTTGGGAAATGAAATCTCTACTTGTTCTCCTGTTTCTCGGAGCGGCAGTCGCCGCCTTGGCTGAGGAGCCTTTTGAGGAGGAGGCAGTCGCGGAGTTGTTAGATGAAGAGGATGATGAAACCATTGCCGAGCTTGCTGATGAGAAGAATGACCCCCGTCGTCGTCCCCGTCCAAGCGGCCCTCCGAGGGCGGTAAGATCTTCAACCTTGTCACCAATCCTAAACAAACCACTGGGATTTGCACAATCAGCTTAAAGTAGCAAACTTAATTTGTTTAAGACTCCCTTTCACGTCCTTATAAAATAGGTGATGAGGGGAACTTCGGAAGAATCACGCTCCCTCAACCCGGAAATTGCGTATTTTATCTGGTTAACATGTTAGATCGATAACTCTGTCAAAAAAATAGCCATAGCCTTTTTTCTGGTGATTGGCATCACGGTGATAAAGAATGGTATCTTTAATAAAATCCTAGCAAACGGTGTTTTAATATAAACGGTAACGTATCATTGAGCCATTATTATAAAACTCGCATAGTTTAATTCTTTTCTCTTAAAAAGTGCAAGCTATATTTTAAGAAATGCTTAAAGAAGCCAACTGGTCCTCGTCCCACACGTCCCATCAAGGTAAGATCTTCCCTTTCTTTATTTTGAACCCTTATACTTTGATGTCGAGACGTAGTTTTACAGCAAAAGTGTGTGGTCAACTTATATTGTTTTTACACGATTTGATGAAATACATGGACCAGGTGAGCTCCTTGGTTATTTTTTTTTTCAGCTGGGGTAGGTTGTTATATGTTAGAAAGAGTGATTAACCTTTTGTCAAGAAATTAATCATAGTTCATTTTTTTTTCATATTCACTGATGATTTAGCGTCAGGTGATAAAGAGGGCCAGCATCAATCAATGAAAATCCTGACATGTGATTAAAAAAAAAATCAACAAAGTTTTAGAAGTATCCTACCACAACCTCCCGGAAATTGCGTATTTTATTTGGTTAACATGTTAGAGCGATAACTCGGTCAAAAAAATAGCCATAGCTTTTTTTCTGGTGATTGGCATCAAAAGATAAAGAATGGTATCATCGATTGATAAAATCCTAGCAAACGGTGTTTTAATATAAACGGTAACGTATCATGGAGCCATTATTATAAAACTCACATAGTTTAATTCTTTTCTCTTACAAAGTGCAAGCTATATTTTAAGAAATGCTTAAAGAAGCCAACTGGTCCTCGTCCCACACGTCCCATCAAGGTAAGATCTTCGTTGTCTTTATTTTGAACTCTCAGACTTTGATGTCGAGACGTAGTTTTACAGCAAAAGTGTGTAGTCAACTTACATTGTTTTTATACGATTTGATGAAATACATGGACCAGGTGAGCTCCTTAGTTATTTTTTCTCAGCTGGGGTAGGTTGTTATATGTTAGAAAGAGTGATTAACCTTTTTGTCAAGAAATTAATCATAGTTCATTTTTTTTTTTTCATTCACTGATGATTAAGCGTCAAATGATAAAGAGGGCCAGCATCAATCAATGAAACTCCTGACATTTGATTTAAAAAAATCAACAAAGTTTTAGAAGTATCCTACCACAGAAGTATTAAAAAATTCACTGAATTCATCTTCTCTCCCACTTAGAAAAAGATTTGCAAAAAACTGCGGAAAATGTGCAAGAAGCTCCGGCCCAGTGGACGCCCTAAGCCTTAACTGATTGAAAGTTAAGTTATTGACAGCCCAACGGTACTGAAAAGATGACGTGTCCCATGAACAGAAAACTTGATATAACGAAATTAAATGTAGTTGTTAAGTTAGGGTGGTACTGTTGATTTAAATAAAGCATTGAAAAGGTGTCTTGAGGTTTTACTCATGTGTCTACAGTAGTTGAGAATTTATCTAATAAATGATAATTATAAAAGTAAATTATAATTATCATAAAAAAATTATCCCAGAATCCTTTGAGGCAATTTTTCTTAAAAGCTTTATAACTTTGACAATTTTATAGGTAGAAGAATGTCAGACCACAACAAGAAAACATTTCCATAAAATATCTTCCCATGCCACATCTAAGGTAATGACGTCATCAGTCACGTGACCATTTCCGAATTAGGTTTATTTGATGCTGTGACAAGATTTCACTAACGAGTTAAAAACAGATAGCATATTTGTGGTTTTAGTTGCGGGGGGAATTTAAAAAAAACCAGTTGACGTCTGGCATTTAAAGTTCAAGGGGGTAATGAACATGAGCGAAAAAGTCGGGAGACAAGGTCGAGGGCTGTAGAGAGTCAACCTTTTATCATTCAGCAGAGAAAATTTGCGGGAAGGTAATGTTCTTACTGATAATTTTTCTAGACCAACAGAGGGACATGATGTCATCAGTCACATGATCAAAGTATTTTGAATGTTTTAGTTCGTTTTTAAAGTTTTTTTTTTGCCATAAATTAGCAAGTTCTTGCTGTTTTTCTCAACAATTCTTGACACTGTATTATCTCTGAGTAATTACTATTCCATTTTCAAAGCAGAAAAAAACGAAAACTGAGCCAGAAGTTTAAAAGTTGCCTAAATTGACCGTTATTGCAAGTAAAAATCGAAAAGGAGACCTACTCTTGACACTTCTGTATAATCCTTCTTCAACTTAACTGTTTGTTTGCCGAAATAAATGTTCAACGTTTGTTAATGAATGAGAACTTTAAAAACTAAAAGGATGTATTTGGCGACCATATTATATTGTTTTTCTTCATTCCGGGAAGAGAGAGGTCACGTAGCAGCTCTTCTAAGCCTAAAAGCCAAATGGTTTGCTACCCTAACCTAAAACAGTGGAACTAATGATGAACAATGTTGTGTTAATCTTTTCCCCGACCGATGAAAAGACACCTTACAAGCAGGGAGAGAATCGTACGGTCACAGCCTAGTCCCCGAGCGTTTTGGGCTCGGTCATTCCTGGACTCTACCATGAGCTGTGACGTCACCGAGAGATACTCGCCGAGAACGCCTAGCCAATATTGCCAGATCAAATATGGCGGCCTTTTCTGTCAGTCTTTTACTGCAACTTCGGGTGAATGAAAATTGTTGTCTCTAAATATGTTTCACCTAATTATTTTCCTTTTATTATTGATTGATAGTAGTCTCTTTGCAATTTCAATCGCTGTGCCGTTTGTTTTCAGTCTCTCAAAATGCCACGTGTCTCAAACGCTTTTGAAGATTACACATCGTTATAAAACCATTAGATTAAAAATAAACATAATAAATTCTTTATTATGATGATGCGTATCACTCTATTAATCTTAATTTAAACAGTCGACTTTGGCGCTTGTCAAAAGTAAGAACCGGCTAGCTGTATAGGTGGTTTTGGAAATTTTTTTAACGGTTTCGCCGGAATATTGAATAAATGCAATTTGTATTGCAAAATTGTGAAATACTGCATTCTGTCCGAGGTCTCTATGATAAAAACAGCGCCTTATGGTACTGTTTCACCTCAGATGTGATGTATAAAAGGTATAAAAGGTCGGTTTACACGTCCCCAGACTTGTTGGCAAGATTTTGTAAAGTAAACTTGTCGAACACAAAAAATTCGGCCTGATTTGTTTTCCCGGCCTAATCTACTGTGATCAGGAGCCATTATGGCTATGCTATTTTTGGGGTGTACATATAATCAACTCGATCGAAGATTAAGTTCACTCTTAGCTTGGACTGTTTGCAAATTATTTTTCTCTAAAATCACTTAGCCTTTCCCTTAAAAGTCACATGAATTTGCTCTAAAGTTAACTGATTTGTGGAATACATGTACAAGTTTATTGTTTTGATTTAAATTATAAATTTATAAATTCGAGTTAATAGGAGCTTCGCTTTTAGCCCTGGCTAAATCTATATATAATGTAAAGTACCTGGGCCTGCCAATGTACAAAGTATAAGCGAGATCAACAGGGGCACCCAACGATGATTTTCGGAAAAAATCTGTTCGGAACACGATTTGAGATCTAGAATTTTCGGGACATTTGTTGCAAAATTTCTTGCTTGCCTGCCTCTCCTAGGATTTTCGAACTTCTAAAAAATGTTATAATTGCCCATTTTTAACGGATTTTAACCCTTAAAAGGTCACCTAGAATTTTCGGGAGCCGTTTTTCTGGCTGAAATTTTCGAAAAGGTAAGCGTTGATCCCTATAATTTTCGGGTCACTAGACTTTCAGCTAGGAAATCCGAACAGATGAAAAATTTCTAGGGGATAAAAGTATGCCTATATCTACCGTTTAGATACTAAAATGAGTTTAACAATGCTATGTTTAATTTGTTTTGAACTATATTCTTGTTGGGTGCCCCTTAGATCAAGTTTGTGTCCGGCCGATCTTTGATTCTTAGTGACATCTACTCTTACGAACCCTGACATTCTTTCTTCCTGCTGCGTTCAGTTTAATTTGAACGAGCCCTAAAAATCCAATAAGGGAACGGTTTTCTTTTTTCAAACGGTCTCCAGTATGGCAGGCTATCTTTTCTCAGTGTTAGCTAAACTGCGCTTTCTGGCGTCTGTTGATTGGGGAGCTAGGCTGAACTATACTGCAATTGCACATCAACGTAATAAAAATAATTGTAGGTAGGAAAAAAGAACTTAAATCCGTTTAAACGATGATCCCCATTTCTGTGAAGACAGAATCGGGGGGGGGGGGGATGGCAAGAAAACACAAATATCATGATTCTATATTATGAGTCCTCAAATGTAATATTTAATAAACAGACTGCAGACATTTATCAGGTGTAGTATCAGCAAGTTAATTTCCCTCTTGATGAAACCCAAATTAAATGTCACATTTTTTTGGCGACTTAGACAAAAATAATGAGGATTTGTTTGTACAGTTAACGTTAAGACCATTCTTGCTAGGTTTTGAATGATTTTAGGAGAAAAATAGAAGGTTTAACCCTATTGAGTCTAAAGTATAACCGACTTTTTAAACAAAGTCATTCGATCACATTCCGGCGGTATGTCGTCAGAATTTTTTATGTTTATTTTTTAGAAAAACCAATTGCGGCTAACGTGCTCTCCTACAAGTATAGAAGTAGTTCTAGCTTACTATTTCGCGTAAGTAACCTAAACTAGGGGTACCTTCCGGCAAGTGCCAACAAGGTGAATTCGTTTATCTTTTGTGGAATGTGCCTATCCAGCTCTTCGCGATTTGTCACATAATTTTAGAGGTTTACAATGGATTTCGCTTTTGAAAAGGATGGCACTCAACTAAAGAAAAAAACTTTGGTACATTCTAGGCTTTCCCTTCTATTAGAAAATAACAACATACAGGCTTGAAGCTTTGTTGGTAAATTGGAGCAAGTTACCACTATTCAAAACCATAAACGTTAGAAATTAGAATATAGTTCAAGTGAGGCCGGCCTTTGACTGCTTAAATTGAAAGATTAATATTAAATTTCGAGCTTGCACCGATCAACGGCGTCATCAGGGATAAGAAGAATATTCGTCATTGTAATGTACAAAGAAAAAAATTGGTGTAAGCAAAATGTGGGAAAAGCGCAAGAATGGGGCGGAATGTATCAGAGGTATAAAAAATTAAAAACTTTAATAAAATACAAAGACTAATGATCAAGTGGCACGGGACAAAGAGTCTCTCTAAAGGCAAAATGATTCATAATGATGATCTTTAAAACAAAAGGTCTGCAAATTCGTTGCATTCTTCATGGGAGTTTAGGGCTGTCTTTAATGTAAATCGAGCTGCAAAAGGACACGAGCTGATTGGCAAAATCTCTTCAAAGGCAAAAATAACTTTTAAAAAACAAAAGGTCCTCAAATGCGTTGCATTCCTCACAGGAGGTGAGGACCGGCTCGATGTAAATCGAACTGCGAAGAACACGCTGGCTCTGACAAACGTTTTGAGAATACAACCCTGTTCCTTGATTAGCTACCGTATAAAATTCATTTTACAAAGGAAAAGATAACACTGAAAAGCCTGGTTCTGAGTCGAGAAACGAACAAGCTAGATCAATGTAAATAGAACTGGAAGAACAAGCTGGTTCTGACAAAAATGGAACGTAAAGCCCTATTCCATGATCAGCTGCTGCTTTAAACTCAATTTTTGAAGCAAACCAGATCACTAATAGCCCTTTCAAATCTAGAAATCGTATTAAAGCTTGCTCACCTGTTAGGGCCTCTTGAACAGAAAACATGCAGCTGTAGAAGGGATCACCCAAGTTTCGAACCACGGAGTTGAAATTTCACGCCTTTTACCATTTCATTAATTAAGAAACTCCGCTGGTGATGAAAAACATTCCACACACATAAAACATCTATTTCGAAGGTAACCCGGTCTGGTAGACCGGGCTACCCGCCTTGGCGGGTCACCCCACCTATCATGTAAACGTGATCAAAGTAAAATGAGAGAATATATGGACTGGCGGGTTACCCCACCTAAGCGGGTTACCTCACCTACCTGGGGTCCCCCACCTCCATGTAAACAGGCCGAAAGGGCCTGTTTACGTGGAGTAGAGGACCCCGGTCTAGTGGGGTTGGTTTCTTTTGTTTTCACGCTCTGGGGGACACAAAACAAAAGAAACCTACCCCACTAGACCGGGGTCCCCCACTCAAAGTAAACAGGCTCTAAATTATCATATCTCTGTGAGCATATGGAAGTCAATAAGCGCGGTCATTGCACGCGTGCTGAAATGGAATGTATCGTGACAGACTAGAAACAATAGAGAACTCCCAAAGCACAAACTCAGCAAAAGAGCTAAAAATCTTCAATGTTTACTCAAGTTTGGGCTTATGGAAGATAATGGCTGCGGTCACATCTGGGTTACTAACTATAGTTAAGACGGGGATAACTATAGTTAGCTATTTCGGTAACGTGACCGCTTCTCTGTTCGCTCTAACTATAGTTAGAAAATTTACGCCTCGGTGATCCAAAACAGTACAGACTAACTATAGTTATACCCAAGCAGGGCTCGTGGGTTAGTCTTAATTAAGTTTACAAACAAATAACCAATCAGAATATGACACTTCTTTTCGCTCGTGCGAGATAAGCATATAATATATAGATTTAGCCAGGGCTAAAAGCGAAGCCTCCGTTTCTCCTTATGATAAAAACAATCCAATTTAAGTAATAACATGAACTCTAAGCCCCCCAAAAAGAAATATTCACATCCCTAAAAGCCTTCGGCATCAGACACCTAGAGAGGGAGGGGTAAATGATTAAGAAAAAATATCCCACAAACAAACCGGAATTGAAAAAATTGTTAAATGGTAGGTCTCTTAAGTAGCGGCAATTTACAGGTTACGATTTCTAGGGTCGGTGTTTCTGTGTTTAAGGGAAGACTTTAAAGAAAAATCAGGCCTTGACTCTTTTCTTTTCTTTTTTTTTTAAAAACGGGCCCGGACGAACAGTTATGTGTAGCCTTCACATTTATACCTCAAAATATCTGAAACAAAATTTTACCGTAAGGTGTAAAATATTTTCTCTGAGGACATACATAGGAAAGCAAACGATAACCTTTTTCGCTACTACGGCCATCCTCTTTTTTTTCTCCGTTTAGCGTCGTCTGACCAACCCAAACTTCTGCCTTTTTCAAAAAAAAAAAAAGGAACGACGTAGTTGAACCATTTTTCAGTTGAAATAATTCTTTTAATCTCAGGCTCAGCTATAAATATGCAAAATAAAAACCAAGCGTGAAGCGAGGGGGAAACCAAAAACAACAAACAAAAAATTTACATGGGCTAATTAGAACTGACTGTTGTTAACTGCGTGGTGTGACCGCAATGTCGACTGAAAGGACTAACTACAGTTAGGTATGACCAGGGTATGACATCACGTAACTTGACACTAACTTAAGTTAAACTTTAGTTACGTCGTATATGTGACCGCAGCCAATGTCACAGTTTTTCAATGACCATCAAATTCAGAATCCGGGTAGTTAGTTAATCATATGTGGCCGTGAAAAAATTTGAAGAAAAAAAAAAAGATACGAACTTTTAAGAAAATGCTTTTTTTGGAGAGGGACTCTTTAAACGCTGACAAACGTCAACAAATAGCTAAAACTATAATTTCTATATGTTCGCATTGTTGGAAATCGCACGCATTTACAAGGACCTAAAGCTTTTTACTGACTTGTAAGGACCCATTTGTTATAAAGATCCTCAAAATAAAGGGATAAATCGCATAGTTTATTAGATATACCCTAAAATTCCGAAAATAAGCCCCAGGGCTTATATTTTTCAAAGGCCCCTTTTTCAGGGGCTTATTTTTGGAGGGGCTTATCTACGGAGGGAAATTAGCGCTTGAAAATTGATTGGGCTAGCTTTATAGTTGGAAGTGAATTTACCGTTTTTGCTTTGTTTTACTTTGTAGTTGAGGGCAACTTTTCAAGTACAAGCCCCCGGGGGGCTTATATTTGGAGGGGCAATTTAACGGAGGGTTTTTTGCGTTACCGGTTTGGGGAGCTTATATTTTGAGGGGCTTATATATGGAGGAGCTTATTTTCGGAATTTTACGGTAATCGTGTAAAGTTTGCTTATCATTTTCACATAAATTATGACTTAAATTTGCAAACCGCTGAATTTCTCGCATTCAGTCTTTGCGATTTTGATGAAACTCTGTTCAACGCAAGACACTAATGCTCACTATACTTAGCCGAGAGCTTTTCACGAAAAAGTGCAGGCAACAGCAGAATTTCGACTCAGACCCCAAAGAGGCGTGGCACTATAACCACGTTACATTTACATGTTTCCTCGGGTAGCAAATATAGTCAAAGTTGGAACATTGCTCGGGTTAGCAAATGTTTTTAAACTCTTAAATTAGAGCATGGTTTGTTCAGGTAGCAAATAATATTCAACGTCCAAGGTTTGAATATCTTTCATTGGGTTCTAGTAAATGTGGTCAAAATCCAAGTTTTAAACAAGTTTGCTCGGGCAGCACATCTGATCAAATTCATATTTTTGTACAGGTTTTTGCTCAGATAGCAAATATAATCAAAAGTCCAACTTTGCTTCGGCCAGCAAACGTCGTCAAATCTTCTAATATTGAACATATTTGCTCAGGTAGCAAATGTAGTCAAAGCAGGAACTTTGCTCGGGTTAGCAAATGTTTTTAAACTCTTAATTTAGAGCATGGTTTGCTCAGGTAGCAAATAATATTCAATGTCCAAGGTTTGAATACCTTTCATTGGGTTCTAGTAAATGGACAACAAATAATTTCATTATATAGTCTGAGTTCTTAACAAGTATATGCCTTCAAACTTTGAGGGGAATATCACTAGTAGTGACCAAGCATTAAATTCTGTTCAAATGGTTTAATCCATAAGTTACCTCAGATATCTCTTAATTTTCTGAAAGCAGAACAAATTTCAAACTATGTATGTTAATATATATATTTATATAAGTACGTATCAGATCAATACTAACTAATATTAGATATAAATAAGAAAAGTGCTCCTAATGTAAGATATTCTAAAAACTTGTTTTCAGAGTTGTGCCATCATTTCCTTTTTCCAAACAATAGTTATTTATGGACGAAACTTTTATTCACTAAAACTGTTATAACCCATAACAAAATCCTCTTCAATCTACTTGGAACGCTAAAAAAGGCGTTTTACTTAGTACAAAATAACATAATTATCACTTTTTAAAGAAACAAATTTTTATAATTCTGGTGGCATTTTAACCTTGGACTCAGTAAAAGGGCTTGTAATTACCATGGCGGATCCAGATAAGGGAAGGGGGGAGGTCATCCAGACCCTGGAATAAAAGGGGGGCGTCTCCAAAATATTGTTTTCGGCCCATCGGGCCTCAGTTTGGTCCAAAAATAAGGGGGGTGGGCCCCCAAGCCTGGATCCTCCACTGTAACACTGTGTAATGGCATATTGGAAAGATTTTATTTACATAATTGATAAAAGTAACATTAAAATTTTTTTCCTCATTTTTAAAGAAAGGGAAATTACCCTCAAGGCAAATCAGTTAATAAAATCATTTCATTTCATTTTTTGTGTATGTGTAAGGAACAGTCTGTATTTGCCCTGTTGTAAGGAAATCGAGGCTCATTAAAAGAAATGACTAGCTGTAAGTATTCCAAAGCATCTCAACATAACCATTGTCACTGTTGTTGGTCCCAAAATAAGTACGTAATCAATACTGTTTTAGAACAGTAAAAACCCGTGTAAAAAAACAAGTGGATTAAGAACACTCAGGCTGACATTTGGTTAAAAAAGCACCATAGGCTGAGATGGATAAAGGGCGGTTATATTTGCAGAGTTACACGTATTTGTAAGTATGACCTGTCATGAATAACATGGGAGTTTTTCAAGAGCTTTGGAATAACTTTCATTTCCTTACGACAGAGCAAATTCAGGGGCATCATCTGGTGCCTCTCTCTCTGAGGGGGAGCCATCCTTCCTCTCTATCATCATTGAGGCACTTCTTTGGGACCTTTTACGGTTTGCTTTCCGGTCCAGCTTTACAAAAAAGTTGTTCAGTTCTTGGCTCCTCCAAGGAAGAGGCCTCCTACAGAGCCCTTTTTCTTGGGGACATTGTCATCCTCAGAGCTGTTTTCTTCATCTGCATTGTCTTCAGAGACAGAATGTTCTGAAGACATGTATTCTACATTCATACAATCTATAAATCTTCTCTTCTCCTCATTCGGAATGGATGTCGATTGTACAAGTGCCTTTTGTCTCTTTAGTCGTTTCTGTAACAAACAAAAATGATTTATGAGTGAGACCATCAAAAGGCATTTACAACAATTTCAACAAAACTGAGCTGGCAGAAATTAAAAAAAACTTAACCTAGACTGTAAATTTCACTGCTCACTACATATGCTGGAAACTAGCTAAAATCTAAAACTATCAACTGATTCCACTTTCCTATAGTAAATTCATTAATTTTAATGCAATCTTGGGAATACACTTGACCTGGCTTCACTGTAATGGCTTGAGAGTAACAAGGAACTTTTTTACACTGTATACAGTGAAACCTGTATTAAGCGGACACCCTCGGGGAATGCTGTAATGTCCGCTTAATGCAGGTGTGGCCGTCTAATACAGGTTTCGATAAATAACGTCATATGAGGTGTCAAACGCCATTTAAGTGAACAGTGGAAAGGTTAAGAACACTCTCAGAGACTTTGACGATATATGTTTGCATTAATTTCTTTATCAAAGTGGATCAGTTGATCATAATACCATAAACATAGACTGCAACTCAAATTTGAAGAAATCAGATGAGTGAAACAAGCTCTATACAAACAAAACGAAATAGAAAACAGTACTGTACTATGAAACTAACCAAATATGTTTGTCAAGTCACGTTTTTTAATGTAAAAATAGAAACATTTGTGGGTGGCAATTCGAGGCAATCTTCGCATTTCCGGTGTCTGCCATGTTGGGTGGTGGCATTTGATTACAAGTGTCCGTTTGATACACGTTGGTAACAATAGAAATGTCCATTTCAGGTACTTTTTAGGTGTCCGCGTCCGCTTAATAGAGGTGTCCACTTAATAAAGGTTTCATTTAAAGCAAATAAGGGAAATAAATTCTGGGACTTAAGCTACTGTCCGCTTAATAGAGGGTGTTCGCTTAATACAGGTTTCACTGTATTTACTGTATTCTTTCTGCTCCTGATTCGCTGCTCTTTCAGGACTTGTTTCTCCTTGTTGCCTTGTTTGATTTTTTTCTGCCTCTTCTTGGTCTTAAAGTGGGTCCTAATAGCAGCTGTCATTCAGGAAAACAGAAATAAAAATTATTGACTGCTATCACCATAAGTAAAAAAATAATTTCTTAAAAGGACCAAGAAATGTGGTGGATCTGGGGGGGGGCAGTTTCGGGGGTTCGAACCCCTAAATTAAAACAGCCAACATCGGAAACTTGTAAAAATGTGAAATAAAGCCTGCTTGCACTATACCAGTCACTTCAGCTGACAACAAGGGAGAAAAAGGTACAGCTTTGAAGCTTGTCAAAGGATTCCACCATGACAACAGAAAGACTGTTAGGCTTGGCTATGATGAACATTCATTACGAAAAGCCCATTGACTACGATGCTGTGGTTCAGTTTTTTGCGGAAAGATACCGAAGAATGCTTCTTGTTGATCCCATGTTCGACGAAACACAAAATTGAAAATATCATAGTTTTTTAATTATCATAGCGGAGCTCCCGCGCGCGCGAAGCGCGCGCGCAGCGGAGCACCATGGGTAAGAAAATTTGGTAAACTATCCATCCCAGAAAATTTGGTTATGACGTAGCGTACGCCCGTCCGTACACACACTTCATGTAAGCCGATGTCAAATGTCACAATAGATCTTGCACAACTTGACTAGCCTCAGCTCTTAGTTATGTAAGCCATCCGTATGAGTACGATTACATTGACAGCTGTCAAAATCAGACATCCGCTGACAATTATCACATGACCGTCTCGCGGGCTCAGATAAAAGACCAGTCGTTTTGCCCGTATATATAAGCTGATATAATATGTCACACTTACCAATTCAACATAAAAACGAAACTACGCCGGGCAAGGCTGTCAGTTGGCTGACAGTCGTTTAAAGTTACATTGAAAGGCCAAATTAAGGTCAATTGACAGCTGTCAAAATGGAACATGTTCAGACCGCTATCAGAAAACTAATAACGAGGGCTCAGGTTCGCTCAGGTACACGATCTGGCATTTTCCACTACATGCCGGACGGAAATGTCCTACTCACACTCGTAGTCTGTTAATTCGAATATTCGCCATTCTAATGAAGGTTAATTGACAGCTGTCAAACTAGAGTATACGCTGACCATCATCACCTAAGTGGATCGCGGGCTCATTTTTCTATCTATTGAGGTCACGTAGTGTTTAAAGTTTTGCGCTGATATTTTATTTGATCACGGGCTCAATTCGAAGCCCCATAGCTTTATAGAAAATCTATCCATCCTAGAAAATTCGGCAATCACGTGACCGTACACCGACCACCCGACCTTCCGTCCGTCCGCACCACAGGCATACCAATGTTTAATCTCACACTTTCTAGCTAGTTTGGGAGCCTGCAACCTGATATTGTACATCCATGTTTTGATTAATTGACAGCTGTCAAAACAGTGTTCCTGCTGACCAGTATCGCCTGACCGTATCGCGGGCTCAGGTATCGACCCTCTGAGCTCGAGTAATATTTTGAAGGTATTCGCTGACAAGTTGCTACTTTTCTAATGATCGCAGGCTCAAGTTCAATTTTTTTAAAATGCATATGAAATAAGTCGTGTTTCATGAGCCGCACTTTTAAAATGTTGATTTCGAACTGATCTCGGACACGAAAATTCAACCGGCTTTTACACTTACATGCAGGGAGTTCAATCGCGTTTGACTTTTCTCACTGTCACGCGTTGATCACGCTCTACGTCCAATTTTTATGTTCTGATTGGTCAAAATTTGACAGGTGAGTTTATGCGGAAAATTTTTGCAGCGTCTGGAAACTTGCTTACTGATAGCTGGAGCTGAGAGAGTTTTGTGTCATCTTGTGATGTTTTAAACTGTCTTTTTCTACTTGGTGTACAAAATGAAATACAGCTGCTATCAAGATTGTTCTGTAATTCGTGGCTGGTTTGTTTATTGCGCTTCTTGTTGACAAATGCACCGCTTGTCAAAGTCATTGGAAATCCGATTTCGGATGGCATCGTTTTCAAAAATGAGCTTACTCACTTGCCCTTGCTTGAGGCGTAAGAAGGTTGAAAAGTCTCAAGCGATTCTGGAACACTTGATGACCTTCGGAAGCAGCATCTCGACTGGTAAGCTTGAGCCATTATTGTTTTTGAAGTGTTTTTTTTTTTTTCGGTTTCCTGAAGTCGAGCGTATGGTTTATGCGGCTTAAGTTAAAACACGAGCAATGATCTAACCGACAATAGTATCAGGTTTAAAAAGCCTTTAGACATTTTTTGACCCGCAAATTCAAAGAAAAGGTTCCGAAGATTATTTAGTTATGATTTTGGCTGTAAACAGAAAGCTCTGAGCGATTTTCTTGCCTCCAGTTCATCTTGAAAACGAGCGAACACCGGGAAGCCGGCTTAAAACATAAATAAGCTCATGCTTGCCTGACTCATGATTTTCTGAGACACTTTACTCTCAATACTTCTCTTCGTGAATGAAAATTATTGTCTCTGTACATGTTTCACCGAATTAAACTTATTTTATTGATTGTTAGTAGTCCTTCTCGCAATTTTCATCGCTGCACCGGGTGTTTCCAGTCGAACATAAACATCGCATGTAGGAATACTCAAAACGCCGCGCGTAAATATCACTCGCTTTTAAAGATTACACATAACAAAACCATACGCAGTTTAATAAATAAAGGGAATAAAACCTAAACAAAACAATTTCTCTATCATGTTGAAGTTTAAGTGGTAACTCTATTAATCGCACTGCAAATTTGGTGCCTGTCAAAGGTGAGAACCCGTCCGGCTGGCCGAAAAGTGATTTTGGGAATTTTTTTATCGTTTTCATTAAAAGCCCATAATTACTACCCGCATATCACATAGGACCAGATTTTTCTAACAGAAAACGTTTTATAATTCAATGCTATAATTTTGTTGTGCAAAGGAAGCGCGTGCTTTGATCGTCGTGGATATTGAATGGGTGCAAATTCTCTTGCAAAATCGTGAAAAACTGCAGAATTATAGGTTTAAATAGGGCAAAAAAGAACAAATTCTGTCCGAGGTCTGTGTACTGTTTACCTGAGACGTGATGAGAAAAAGTATGTTTAAAAGGCTGGTTTACACGCCACCAGATTCGTCGCCAAGATTTACTAGTGAACTAAACTTGGCCTCTCTTTTAGACTGAGGAATGCAACGTGTAAATTGGCTGCCACCAAGGACTATCGTGGCGCATGTGTTTCTTAAAATTATATTTCGGGGTTGTCCAATTATCCATAGTCTCTCTAAGGGAGCAATGTTGGAGAGACTGGTGAATGCCACATTATGATGCTACAGCTAATGCAAATACAATACACGAATAGGTCTATTTGTTTTCCAGGCGTAATCTACTGTGATCGAACATGATTGCTATTTTTCGGCGTACAAATAACTTGATGTAAAATTTGTTTCACTCTTGGACGGTCAAATTCTGATTTTTCTCCAAAATCACTCAGCCTTTGCCTCAAAAGTCAAATGAATGTGCCCTGATCTGTGGATTACAAGTTTATTGTTTGATTTAAATTATGAATTTATTAACGGGAGCTTCGCTTTTAGCCTTGGCTAAATCTATATATTAGTTTTACAAATGCAAATTTGCATCGTTGTTTCACTGCTTTCAGTGATATTTTGATGCAAAAAGAAAGGTGACCGCCTTGCCTTTTCATTGAACCCCTTATGCTAAAATCCTGGATCCACCCCAGAAGACTCGAGGTTCAAGTTGGACAAAGATTCCTGTAATTTTCCACCATATTAATACATATGATCTACTGTAATTTTATTATTATATTCTACAGAGCCAAATCTGGGAAATTAGAGTGCAGGAATACACTTACCCCTTATGAGCGATACTGTTGCAGAAATGCCTGTGCTTCGCACTTCATCTATAATAGCTGCATGTACAACCTGGTTATTTCTGTGATTAAAGCTGAATTTGATGGCAAAAATTGTGTGAGAACTGAGTGGCTAAGCAAAGTATTTTTTTCTGGAAAGAGGGTTCTTTTTGTGCGCAAGATCCCAAATTAAGGTAATCCCATATTATTTTGATACTGAAGGGGTGCATATGAGAAAGACTTGTGACTCCTAATAAATTAAGAGTTTGTATACAATACACGGTAGCTTTTCCTTTAAAAATAGCGATAGAAGTTTGCTTTTTGGTAAAAACCATTGTATTTTTTTTAATACAGTTTATGAGCTGCAACAACAAAAAAGCTCAAAACAAACACTGCATAACTTAAGCATCTCAATTAGTGACCTGGCAACCTGATATAAAAAAAACAACAACAGAAATAAAAATGATAAGAACCTTAACTTACTCTTGTGAAAGATCCCATTTAACATCTTCCCCATCCTCACTGGTCAGTGAACAATAGACGTCCCTCACATGAGCCTTATAAAGGATGAATTAACAAGGAAACAGTCAGGGAAACAGATAGAACAATAAGCTAATAACCAATAAAGCAAACAAACTGTATCAAAAACAGAAAGCGAAACGAAACTTTCAGGCAGCAAAATACTAGAAAGTAGAACTATTAATCCTTCGTACCAGTAACTTTGAACGTTTTACACTTGGTCCCCATCTCAATCCCTTGCTGACTCGAACCTCACACTAACTTGAATCAGATTGATTTCCCCTGGATTTCCTTCCTATATTTACTGTAATTCTACCCTCGATAACTTGAAATTCAGCAGTCAGCCAGCAAGATGTTTTTTAAACAACTTTGATATCTAGTTACTTTTCCGCATGGCCCAGCCACTTGGCACGATTAGCTTTTGCTATTTCTTATTGGCTGTGCTCTCTTTTTTTCACAATTATTTTCCTTTAATGTCTTTACACTTTTGCATCAAGAGCACAATAAAGATTGTTGTTGCTGTTGTTGTTAACTCAAGGTAAATTATTTTTGTTTTCGTTCAGATCATACCTATATAATCTTATACATTTTTGTATAATTTTTTCAACACAAGAAGAGAAATTTTGTATCTCCAAGCAACCATGTCATGTTCTATTTATTACATAAACACCAATGAAATGCCAAACCATTTTCCTTAAATGGTTTTTGGGTCTCAAAGGTGCGGTTTATTATGAAGCCATAGCAATGGTGATATTTTCACACGTGAAGATAACATGTTATTTTCTCATGTGAAGATATCAAGTTTTCGCGCAAAAGCTCACTTGGTATTTCATTGGTGTTTATAATAATAAAGTTGATTATTATTATTATTATAACAAAAACATTTAACAAAATTGAAAATATTATGAATGCTGGGTTCTTTTTAAAACTCACAAAAAAATTAATTCCCAGTGGGAAAAAAACAATGTTTTCTAATCGCAAAAATTAGTTCCCGCAAAACACAAAAAACCGCCAATCCGCAAAAATAAACTCCCCCCCAAAATTTTCGTCCTTAGGGGGAGGGAGTCAAATTTTCTATGAATGATGCCAGTGGCGCGACAATAAATCCATGGATGATAAGACTTAACTCTAACACGATTTTTATTTTTATTTTTGTGCTTGCTCGATGGAACAGGCCATAGGCTAGGTCAAACATGTTGGCAGACAGCCATTAAGCTCAGGAAGCTTTACATGAATGGGTAGGGCCATTTATACGAGGAAAAATAGGACGCGTCTTACATAAGACGCGTCTTAAATAAGACGCGAACTGTACCATTTATACGAGCATGTCTTATCTAATAAGAGGCGTCTTAGCTAAGCCACGTCTTATTTTAGACGAAATGTGCCGTTTTTACGGAAAGTTCGCGTCTTATTTAAGACGCGTCTTATTTTTCCTGGAATAAATGGCCCTATTGTTCACTTACCGATAATTCCTTTCTAGGGCGCTGAACTTGTTTCGATCTTTTCCCCGAGGTTTGATGTTTTAACTCTTCCAGTCGTTGCTCCAGTTGTTTATTAAACTCCCCTTGGGTGGCGAAGAACTGTTTTATCTGCTCCATACTTGTGAGAGCGGCTGGGGAGTTTATACTACTGGCACTAGCAGTTGCTTCTTGTCGGTTTACTGGGGTTAAATCCAATGGCGCCAAGATCTGATCAGATCTTGTCGGAGTCGACGTGGCTGGTCTGGTCGGTATCAATGGCCGGGCGACAGGCCGGGCCGGTTGCGGAGTACGAGATTGTTCGACCGTTCCAGCGCCCTCCACAGGCGAGTTGTTTTCTGGGCGTCTTGAAGCAGTGACTGAACTACTGCCGGCGGACTGCTCCGGGCTTCCATTTCCAACAGGCGACGAAGCAGGACCTTGCCTTTTTTTCGGCCTAGACTGGGTAGTGTAAAGGACATGCTTTGAATTGGAGGGCTTTTGCCTTGCCATAGCAGCTACAAAGGAGATATCAGAAGGTTACAATGACAAAAAATATCGAAAAAATATGGCGAGTAGTACCAAGCTTGATGAAACCCTTCGTTCAAAGTAATCGCGCCTAAAATTCAAACGTCTTTCATGCACAAGAAGCTAGTAAATTTTTAACCACTACGAAACGTATACGACGTTCCGTTGGTCCTCCACAGCATAGGCGGGAAATGGATCCAAAGGGCAAACATCACGAGGTCGGCCAGCAAAATCTTCGGACAACGAACGGTGACGTATCCGTTAACAATGTGACTAATATAGTTCTTCGTGCCGCCCTTTTTATGGGCCCGTGACCCTGGTAAACGTTATAACAAAAGCGCTGGCAAACACACATTTGCTGATTATTGTTTATTTTTCGTTAGGGGCGAGATTAATAAATATCTTATTGACTCTTATATCAACAGCCGGGATGTTGATCACCTTTTTCCTTTATGAACAGCTGTGTATTGTGTGCCATCTTTTATCTTTTTCGGTTTAACCCTTTTGTTCAAACTTATGTTTATTTTGTGCCAAGCATGAAGATAAATATTTTTTACTTTGCGTTTGGAAGTTACTAAAATATTTACTACAGGTGCATTTTCGCAGGTGCTCAAAAACCTGTGTACACTTTTTGCTTTGTAAAAAAAAAAAAAAAAAAAAAAGATCAACGACAACTGTATATTCCTCTAACAACCTTTGTGGCATTACAGGTGTTAAAAGTATGGGATCCCTAACGAAAGATAGAAGGGAAGGAGAATGTGTGCGTTTGGGAGTGTTGTGGGTATAGAAAGCAAAAAAAAAAAAAACAGGTTGGATGTTAAGATTTGCACTAATAATGAGCGACCGGCAAACTCTATGTCTACCTCAAGCAAGTGTTAAAATAGAAAAAAAAAGTAATAAATTTATAAGTAAATGAAATGAAATGGCAGTATAAAAGACAGACTTACAAAAATAAGAAGATGAAATAAAATAAAATTAAATGAAGGATGATCGTCGCAGTTATATAAGCAACTCTTGATGTTGCGAAAAGAAAGCCTGAAAAAAAATCAGGCTTGTACGGGATTCGATCCCTTGACCTATGCGATACCGGTGCAGCGCTCTACCAATTAAGCCAACTGGGAGCAGGTCATTGAATTGGTTCGTTTATGAACCCGTGAAAGGATGATGATGAAGTTTTGAATATACGAAAATCATACATGTGAACTGCGAAGTGAAGAATTAAATGAAGGATGATCTTCAAAATTAAATTAGTTGAAAAGCTAAAATTGGATTAGAGGTTAAAAGAAGAGGAAGAGAAAAAATTAATTTAGATGTTAGGATAAGTATTAGCAATGAGGGACCCCTCGCGGAATAGCGCCGAATATCACCGATTCCGCCTTGATTCAGGGTGCGTTTTGTACTTTGAACTGCGTATGGCTGCTGCAGCAATAAGTAACGACAGGGACCCAAAAACTGCCCGGCCACTGCTAATTATCAGTACTTGTCAAAGAACGTATGACCAATGTGCCGACAGGGGGGCGTTAAGCTAAGGTTTGTGCTAAGAAGAACACTACCGCACGGGTAGAAAAAAAAAGTTTTTGTTTCTCTGCGAGGTTTGCTGTCTTCATTTTCAAAATGCCCGTGGTCATATGAAATTTTTCACGTCAAAATGCGGAATATGGCGAAGTGTTATCGCGAGTACGACATTTTACGTTGGCGTACACCGACGTGCAAGGGTAAATTGATGTTATAACCAATGAAACAGAAATGGTAAACATTGTAGTCGCGCAGCCTTCGGGCTATGGATGCACGCGGGAGGTTACCAAACACGAAAAAAAGCGTTATGTTGATTGTAAAAAATCTTTTACGTCAGCTAAAACGGCTTTGTAAACCTTTTCTCAGTACTAATACAAAACTAACTATAGGATAACAACAAAATATAATCTTTTAGAAAGTAAAGCGTACGACTTTAAGGGGCTCTAGCTTTCGTTAGCGTTTCATCCATTTGCAAATAGTATTTGAGTAATTGTCCAATCAGAGAGAGCGCTTTACTTTTGTATATTATGAAATAATTTTCGCCTCGATAAGGTACCCTTTTTGCTTCGCACGCGGGGAGCTCAGCTATAGCGAAGAATTTTGTGACTCATTGCATGGGAACTTATGTTTCTTGTATAGGGTAATTTCCATAGAAAGTCAGTTGGTAGAAATTAACTTTAATATTATTTTTTTAATGGCTGCAAACAAGATAATTTTAAACTCGTTCCTAAACAGTCCAATATTGCACAGTGTTAGTTCTGATTCTCTTTGATGCTAAATAGGCGCTGCTGTTGAGCTATCATACTTTTACATCTTATTTTATATTTTATTTATTTTTAGCAAGACAAAATCTACCTGCGGGATCTTTTTTTGACATTACTTAGAAGAAGATAAAGTAAAAGCGAAGATTTTAATTTTTAAAAAAGGGCAGCTTTGAACACACAGGAGACACTGAGCATAGGTGTGAAGTCTTTTAATTCCTCATGTTCACAAATATGATTTTTACATGGAGACTTGGATCATCTTAAAAGTAAGAGTTTTTAGGACATGGAAATGGCCTATAAACCCCTTTAACCCAAAAATGCACAAGCAAGTTCTTCAGACTGATCCCTATACTCTTCTTCAAAGAATAGTTGAGAGAATTTGATAAAAATACTTGACATATTTGAAACAAATAGCACTTTTAACAGTTTAAAACACCGTTAAAGTCAGCCCAAATCAGTCAGTATGCACCTATGCTGTAACACCGGTTTAAAGCAGTTTTCAAAAAAAGTTAGCAAATACATTTTAAAAAGTGTTAGATTTGGTACGACAAACTGCGAGAGACTCGATCCTTTACAGCCTGATATTCGAGCAAGCTCGTAAAAACCTGTAGGAAGAACAAGCATTAATGCCTGGAGTCAGGCTCTGCAAGACGATATATGTATCACGGGATAAATCGTTACCTGAAGCCTCGTGCAAACGGACGCAACATTGTTGGCCAACAACTCCCAACATTGTTGGATGTTACATGTTGCGTCCGTTTGCACACCCTGTTGCATGTTGTTGGATGTTGTTGCGCAAAGTTTGAAACAGGTCAAACTTTTCAGCCAACAACTCTCAACATTTCTTTTGTTCCGTGATCGCCGAAGCGTAGCGCAACAATGTTGGATCCGTTTGCACAGCTCTTTCAACATTGTTAGGGTCGCATAGGCGCATTACACATGGTTTACAAAGACTTATGGGCTGTATCCTTCCCACAATGCACTGTAGGTTCCAACATTGTTGGGAATTGTTGCATCCGTTTGCACACCACTGCCAACACGCATGCAACAACTCCCAACATTGTTGGCGCAACAATGTTGGGAGTTGTTGCGTCCGTTTGCACGCAGCCTGAGCGGAAAGTGAAAAATTATCCGTGGACTTAAGTCCTGATATTCCCTTTCCGAAAAAATCGTATTTTACACTGTTTTTCGAACAAACTTGAGATACTGCTACGTTCAAAAATCATCGCGGAAAAATAAGTCAGTTTTACTTTGTATCCGTTTGTTTACTCGGAATTTGTCCAAATCGGAACGCCACATTTTAGACTGGAACGCGTTCCACTTCTTGCTCGACTTACTTAACGAATTAGTTAGAGGATGACTGGCCTGAACCCTCATTCACCGGGCAAAGCAAGAAAATCGCATCAAGTTAGGTTTCCGGAAAACTGCCCACCTACCCTTCCGTTAAGCCAACATTTTGCCCTAAGTGAGTAGTAAGTGTAAATGTTGGCTTAAGGGAGGGGTAGGTGGGTAGTTTCCCAGAAACCTAAATTGATCCAGAAAATATACTTGTCCCTAACTTTTTCGAGTCCTGGAGACAGCATTCCCTGAGCCGACTAATAGTAATTTACGCAACAGGACGGCAGAAGGAAAAGGACAACAAAACGCTTCTCTGTGTCAAACGTGGGGCCGTTATTACTTGCGTGTTTTGTCAAGATCTTAAGGAAACCTTTGGGCAGGCAGCTCTCATACTTTGTTTGCCCGGAGCCACTTTTTGCTCGACTTACTTAACGAACTAGTTAGAGGATAACTTACCTGAACCCCCTGAGCCGACAAATAGTGAGTTTACGCAAAAAGACGGCAGAAAAAAGACGGCAGAACGTTTGTGTCTGACAAACATGACAAGGCTATTACTTGCGTGTTTTGTCGTGATCTTCACTTACATTAATGTTTTCTGGTCTTTTACAAAAAGATCTGTTTACTGAGGAGGGTGAAGTTTGGCGAAAAGTTTCAAACAAAATTATTGTCACCTTTGTCACACAAGGTTTGTCGTCTTCTTTCCTCTTCCGTCCTGTTGCGTAAGCTAACTATTTTATTAACGGATACTCAATCTACAATTAAAGCTATCCACAGGACGTAAGTGCACCGAAAATAAAAAACATTTAGACTAAAACAGGACAAGCTTGGGTGCACCATGAGTCATCTACCAAATCAAGACAAGATTCGGTCAAACAATTACTGTAGTGACATCTATCAATATCGTACTGTACGCGAGAGGAATTTGTTTCAACATCATTACATCACTCATCACTCATCACCACTGATCACTATCTTGTTACTATCATCAACTCCACCATTATCATCCCAATCAGTTTCATTGGCTCGTTCTCTGATAAACACATTTCTTGCGGAAAGTGCAAGAGATATAGTAGTGAAGGGAAACAATTTCAGATAAGAAAGTTATTTTACGTTTTAGGTTCAAAGTTAAATTATAGTAAAATTCCGAAAATAAGCCCCTCCATGTATATGCCCCTCCAAATACAAGCCCCCCTAAACCGGTAACGCAAAAACCCGCCATTAAATCACCCCTCTAAATATAAGCCCCCCGGCGGCTTGTACTTGGATATTTGCCCTCAAATACGAAGTAAAACAAAGCAAAACTTTAAGTCTAACCCATCGATTTTGAAACGCAAATTTCCCTCGGTAGATAAGCCCCTACGAATGTAAGCCCCTTTAAAAATAAGCCCCTCAAAAAGGGCCTTTGAAAAATAGAAGCTCCGAGGCTTATTTTCGGAATTTTACGGTATTTTTATTAATTCAGTGGTAATTGTAAAATAAAAACGGATCTAATTCTGGAATTGTGAAAATTCCAATTCCCGATAAGGAAGTTAGTCCACGGACGTGGTTTTTCTTGTATCTTTTATTACCAGATGTAACATTATTACGTAAGTCAATTTAAAAAAACGCTTAAAACTAGATTCAACTTTTCGCCTGCTCATTCTGTGATATGTGAGGTTTAGTTTGCTTCCCAGCGGAAACAAATGTGTATGATCATTATTTGGCTAAGCTAAAGAGCCGAAAGGTGAATGTTTATTCTCGTATTCGGTTTTCGAAAAGAAAAGAAAAAAACTCTGTGTACTTTCTTAAGGAAACATAACCTCACTTATATATCTAAAGAAAATTTTTTTTTCTTTTGTTTTACTAATCGCTGGCACGGACTGTTTTGTACCCGGTTTTAGATCTTTATTTTGTTATTAAATATTTACTCAACTGTGTGCTCGTTTACCGGCAATAAAAAAAACCTAGATTGCAACATAAGGCACAAATGTCTCTGAGATGAATTTCATTTTTTAGATGATTAAAAAGAAAGACATTTTAGTTCATCGTTTAAGCTTTAATACACAAAATGGCTACAATTCGCTAGTTTTTGTCGGAATTTTGTGTTTACAAGAGAGAGCCTCTTATTATTCTTAGTATCATGTCTCCAGGTTTCATTTAAAATAGGTAATGCCGTCATTTTGTTGCTATGACAACTCATTGTAATGTCATTGTAATCTTGATTATAAAAAAATCTTCATTTTTATCTAAGACAGCTGTGGTGGTAATTGTTAATGATATCATAGGTTATGCTCAAACTTGGGAGGTATTCACCCTGAAAAATCCCATCGAGACATCGTAATCAACCATTCCCTGCAAGGCACAGGGCATGGAGTTTTGAATTTTGTTTGCTTATCCTGTTTCTCGAAGACTTGCCTTCTTTTCCCTATATTTACAGACGTTTGTATCAATTGTTGCTGTTTGTTTTTACGCACTTGTGGCATAAATTTTTAATTTAAACTTGTCTCCACCATTCAAACCAACATCCTTAAACAGCAAGTACAGTGGTGTATACCGTTACTTTTATGAATATCATCAGTTTAACTTTAATGGCAGGAAGTTATTAATACCGTTACTCCGATTAATTATTACTTTCTTTTTTATAGGAAATATTGCTTCAAACATTAAACTGGGGTCAACGCATGAAAATTTGTAAAATCTGTTAGTTTATAGTTTATGATCCGTTTTCTACGACGTAATGTGTTGTTAACGTATGATAGCTGAATAGCAGCGCCCATTTAGCATCAAAGAGAATCAGAACTAACACTGTGCAATATTGGACATTTTAAAAACGAGTTTAAGATTATCTCGTTTGCAGCTATTTAAAAAAAATGATATTAAAGTGAATTTCTACTAACTGACTTTCTATGGAAATTACCCTGTGTAAGCAACATAAGTTCCCATGCAATGAGTCACTATTAATTCTTCGTAATAGCTGAGTTCCACGCGTGCGGAGCAAATAGGTTACCTTATCGAGGCGAAAATTATTTTATAACATAACAGAAGTAAAGTGCCCCCTCTGACTGGACAATTACTCAAATACTACTTGCAAATGGGTGAATGCTGACGAAAGCTAGCGCCGCTTAAAGTCGTACGCTTCACTTTCTAAAAGATTATATTTTGTTGTTATCCTATAGTCAGTTTTGTATTAGTACTGAGAAAAAGTTTTACAAAGCCATTTTGGCTGACGTAAAAGATTATTTACAATCAACATAACGCTTTTTTTCGTGTTTGGCAACCTCCCGCGTACACCCATAGGCCGATGGCTACATGACTGCAATGTTTACCATTTTTCTTTCATTGGTTATAACGTCAATTTACCCTCGTACGTCGTTGTACGCCAATGTAAAATGTCCTACTCGAGATAACACTTCGCTATATTCCGCATTTTCGCGTGAAAAATGCAGAAGGCCTCGGGCATTTCGAAAATGAAGACAGCAAACCTGAAGGAAACAAGAAAACAAAACGGCGGAATCCGTTTTTTTCCTCGCAGAGAAACAGAAACATTTTTTTTTCTACCCATGCGGTAGTGCGCTTCTTAGCACAAACCTCAGCTTAAAACCTTTCTGTTGGCACATTGGTCATATGTTCTATGACAACTTAATGATAATAAGTAGTGGCCGGGCAGTTTTAGGTCCCTGTCGTTACTAATTCAAAGTACAAAAGGCACCATGAATCAGGGCGAAATCGGTTATGTTCCGCGTTATTCCGCGAGGGCTCCCTCATTGCTAATACTTATCCTAACATCTAAATCAATTTTTCCTCTTCCTCTTCTTTTAACCTCTTATCCAATTTTAGCTTTTCAACTAATTTTATTTTGAATATATGAAAATCATATAATTATGTGGACTGCAGATTGAAGAATTAAATGAACGATCATCATCCTTCAATTCTTTACTCCGCAGTTCACATACATGATTTTCATATATTAAAACCTTCAACATCATCCATTCACGGATTTATAAACGAACCAATTCAATGACCTGCTCTCAGTTGGCTTAATTGGTAGAGCGCTGCACCGGTCTCGCATAGGTCAAGGGTTCGAATCCCGTACAAGCCTGAATATTTTTCAGGCTTTCTTTTCGCAACCGCAAAAGATGCGCATATAACTGCATGCGATGATCATCCTTCATTTAATTTAATTTTATTTCATCTTCTTATTTTTGCAAGTCTGTCTTTTATACTGCCATTTCATTTTATTTACTTATAAATTTATTGCTACCTTTTTTTCTATTTTAGCACTTGCTTGAGGTAGACATAGAGTTTGCCGATCGCTCACTATTAGTGCAAATCGTAACATCTAACTTTTTTTTGCTTTCTATACCCACAACACTCCCAAACGCACACATTCTCCTTCCCTTCTATCTTTCGTTAGGGATCCCATACTTTTAACACCTGTAATGCCACAAAGGTTGCAAGATAAATATACTGTTGTTGTTGTTGGTCATTTGTTTTTACAAAAAGTGTACACAAGTTTTTCAGCACCTGCGAAAATGCACCTGTAGTAAATATTTTAGTAACTTCCAAATGCAAAGTAAAATATTTATCTTCACGCTTGCCGCCAAAAAATAAACATAACTTTGAACAAAAGGGGTTAAACAGAAAAAGATAAAAGATGGCACACAATACACAGCTGCTCACAAAGAAAAAAGGTGATAAACATCCCGGCTGTTGATATAAGAGTCAATAAGATATTTATTAATCTCGCGCCTAACGGAAAATAAACAATAATCAGCAAATGTGTGTTTGCCAGCGCTTTTGTTATATGCCTAACGTTCATCAGGGTCACGGGCCCATAAAAAGGGCCGCGTGAAGAACTATGTTATTCACATTGCTAGCGGATATTTAGCAGTGAACATTGTTTTGGAAATGAAATCTCTACTTGTTCTCCTGTTTCTCGGAGCGATAGTCGCCACCCTGGCTGAGGAGTCTTTTGAGGATGAGGCAGTCGCGGAGTTGTTAGATGAACAGGGTGAGGAAACCATTGCCGAGCTTGCTGATGAAGCGAATGACCCCCATCATCGTCCCCGTCCAAGTGGCCCTCCGAGGGCGGTAAGATCTTCAACCTTGTCACCAGTCCTAAACAGACTACTGGGATTTGCACAATCAGCTTAAAGTAGCAAACTTAATTTGTTCAAGATTCCTTTCCACGCCCTTATAAAATAGGTGCTCACGGGAACTTCGGAAGAATCGCGCTCCCTCAACCCAAATCTCTGTAGGTTGTTATATGTTAGAAAGAGTGATTACCCTTTTGTCAAGAAATTAATCGGAGCTCAGTTTTTTCATATTCACTGATGATTTAGCGTCAAGTGACAAAGAGGGCCAGCATCAATCAATGAAAATCCTGACATGTGATTAAAAAAAAATCAACAAAGTTTTAGAAGTATCCTACCACAACCTCCCGGAAATTGCGTATTTTATTTGGTTAACATGTTAGAGCGATAACTCGGTCAAAAAAATAGCCATAGCTTTTTTTCTGGTGATTGGCATCAAAAGATAAAGAATGGTATCATCGATTAATAAAATCCTAGCAAACGGTGTTTTAATATAAACGGTAACGTATCATAGAGCCATTATTATAAAACTCACATACTTTAATTCTTTTCTCTTAAAAAGTGCAAACTATATTTTAAGAAATGCTTAAAGAAGCCAACTGGTCCTCGTCCCACACGTCCCATCAAGGTAAGATCTTCGTTGTCTTTATTTTGAACCCTCAGACTTTGATGTCGAGACGTAGTTTTACAGTAAAAGTGTGTAGTCAACTTATATTGTTTTTATACGATTTGATGAAATACATGGACCAGGTGAGCTCCTTAGTTATTTTTTTTTCAGCTGGGGTAGGTTGTTATATGTTAGAAAGAGTGATTAACCTTTTGTCAAGAAATTAATCATAGTTCATTTTTTTTTCATATTCACTGATGATTAAGCGTCAAATGATAAAGAGGCCAGCATCAATCAATGAAACTCCGGACATTTGATTAAAAAAAAAATCAACAAAGTTTTAGAAGTATCCTACCACAGAAGTATTAAAAAATTCACTGAATTCATCTTCTCTCCCACTTAGAAAAAGATTTGCCAAAAACTGCGGAAAATGTGCAAGAAGCTCCGGCCCAGCAGACGTCCTAAGCCTTAACTGATTGAAAGTTAAGTTATTGACAGCCCAACGGTACTGATGACGTGTCCCATTAACAGAAAACTTGATGTAACGAAATTAAATGTAGTTGTTAAGTTAGGGTGGTACTGTTGATTTAAATAAAGCATTGAAAAGGTGTCTTGAAGTTTTACTCATGTGTCTACAGTAGTTGAGAATTTATCTAATAAATGATAATTATAAAAGTAAATTATAATTATCATAAAAAAATTATCCCAGAATCCTTTGAGGCAATTTTTCTTAAAAGCTTTATAACTTTGACAATTTTATAGGTAGAAGAATGTCAGACCACAACAAGAAAACATTTCCATAAAATATCTTCCCATGCCACATCTAAGGTAATGACGTCATCAGTCACGTGACCATTTCCGAATTAGGTTTATTTGATGCTGTGCAAGATTTCACTAACGTGTTAAAAACAGATAAAATATTTGTGGTTTTAGTTGCGGGGGGAATTAAAAAAAAACCAGTTGACGTCTGGCATTTAAAGTTCAAGGGGGTAATGAACATGAGCGAAAAAGTCGGGAGACAAGGTCGAGGGCTGTAGAGAGTCAACCTTTTATCATTCAGCAGAGAAAATTTGCGGGAAGGTAATGTTCTTACTGATAATTTTTCTAGACCAACAGAGGGACATGACGTCATCAGTCACATGATCAAAGTATTTTGAATGTTTTAGTTCGTTTTTAAAGTTTTTTTTTGTCATAAATTGGCAAGTTCTTGCTGTTTTTCTCAACAATTCTTGACACTGTATTATCTCTGAGTAATTACTATTCCATTTTCAAAGCAGAAAAAAACGAAAACTGAGCCAGAAGTTTAAAAGTTGCGTAAATTGACCGTTATTGCAAGTAAAAATCGAAAAGGAGACCTACTCTTGACACTTCTGTATAATCCTTCTTCAACTTAACTGTTTGTTTGCCGAAATAAATGTTCAACGTTTGTTAATGAATGAGAACTTTAAAAACTAAAAGGATGTATTTGGCGACCATATTATATTGTTTTTCTTCATTCCGGGGAGAGAGAGGTCACGTAGCAGCTCTTCTAAGCCTAAAAGCCAAATGGTTTGCTACCCTAACCTAAAACAGTGGAACTAATGATGAACAATGTTGTGTTAATCTTTTCCCCGACCGATGAAAAGACACCTTACAAGCAGGGAGAGAATCGTACGGTCACAGCCTAGTCCCCGAGCGTTTTCGGCTCGGTCATTCCTGGACTCTACCATGAGCTGTGACGTCACCGAGAGATACTCGCCGAGAACGCCTAGCCAATATTGCCAGATCAAATATGGCGGCCTTTTCTGTCAGTCTTTTACTGCAACTTCGGGTGAATGAAAATTGTTGTCTCTAAATATGTTTCACCTAATTATTTTCCTTTTATTATTGATTGATAGTAGTCTCTTTGCAATTTCAATCGCTGTGCCGTTTGTTTTCAGTCTCTCAAAATGCCACGCGTATCAAACGCTTTTGAAGATTACACATCGTTATAAAACCATTAGATTAAAAATAAACATAATAAATTCTTTATTATGATGATGCGTATCACTCTATTAATCTTAATTTAAACAGTCGACTTTGGCGCTTGTCAAAAGTAAGAACCGGCTAGCTGTATAGGTGGTTTTGGAAATTTTTTTAACGGTTTCGCCTGAATATTGAATAAATGCAATTTGTATTGCAAAATTGTGAAATACTGCATTCTGTCCGAGGTCTCTATGATAAAAACAGCGCCTTATGGTACTGTTTCACCTCAGATGTGATGTATAAAAGGTATAAAAGGTCGGTTTACACGTCCCCAGACTTGTTGGCAAGATTTTGTAAAGTAAACTTGTCGAACACAAAAAATTCGGCCTGATTTGTTTTCCAGGCCTAATCTACTGTGATCAGGAGCCATTATGGCTATGCTATTTTTTGGGTGTACATATAATCAACTCGATCTAAGATTAAGTTCACTCTTAGCTTGGACTGTTTGCAAATTATTTTTCTCTAAAATCACTTAGCCTTTCCCTTAAAAAGTCACATGAATTTGCTCTAAAGTTAACTGATTTGTGGAATACATGTACAAGTTTATTGTTTTGATTTAAATTATAAATTCGAGTTAATAGGAGCTTCGCTTTTAGCCCTGGCTAAATCTATATATTATGTAAAGTACCTGGGCCTGCCAATGTACAAAGTATAAGCGAGATCAAATTTGTGTCCGGCCGATCTTTGATTCTTAGTGACATCTACTCTTACGAACCCTGACATTCTTTCTTCCTGCTGCGTTCAGTTTAATTTGAACGAGCCCTAAAAAATCCAATAAGGGAACGGTTTTCTTTTTCAAACGGTCTCCAGTGTGGCAGGCTATCTTTTCTCAGTGTTAGCTAAACTGCGCTTTCTGGCGTCTGTTGATTGGGGAGCTAGGCTGAACTACACTGCAATTGCACATCAACGTAATAAAAATAATTGTAGGTAGGAAAAAAAAACTTAAATCCGTTTAAACGATGATCCCCATTTCTGCGAAGACAGACTCGGGGGGGAGGGGGGGATGGCAAGAAAACACAAATATCATGATTCTATATTATGAGTCCTCAAATGTAATATTTAATAAACAGACTGAAGACATTTATCAGGTGTAGTATCAGCAAATTAATTTCCCTCTTGATGAAACCCAAATTAAATGTCACATTTTTTTGGCGACTTAGACAAAAATAATGAGGATTTGTTTGTACAGTTAACGTTAAGACCATTCTTGCTAGGTTTTGAATGATTTTAGGAGAAAAATAGAAGGTTTAACCTTATTGAGTCTAAAGTATAACCGACTTTTTAAACAAAGTCATTCGATCACATTCCGGCGGTATGTCGTCAGAATTTTTTATGTTTATTTTTTAGAAAAACCAATTGCGGCTAACGTGCTCTCCTACAAGTATAGAAGTAGTTCTAGCTTACTATTTCGCGTAAGTAACCTAAACTAGGGGTACCTTCCGGCAAGTGCCAACAAGGTGAATTCGTTTATCTTTTGTGGAATGTGCCTATCCAGCTCTTCGCGATTTGTCACATAATTTTAGAGGTTTACAATGGATTTCGCTATAGAAAAGGATGGCACTCAACTAAAGAAAAAAACTTTGGTACATTCTAGGCTTTCCCTTCTATTAAAAAATAACAACATACAGGCTTGAAGCTTTGTTGGTAAATTGGAGCAAGTTACCACTATTCAAAACCATAAACGTTAGAAATTAGAATATAGTTCAAGTGAGGCCGGCCTTTGACTGCTTAAATTGAAAGATTAATATTAAATTTCGAGCTTGCACCGATCAACGGCGTCATCAGGGATAAGAAGAATATTCGTCATTGTAATGTACAAAGAAAAAAATTGGTGTAAGCAAAATGTGGGAAAAGCGCAAGAATGGGGCGGAATGTATCAGAGGTATAAAAAATTAAAAACTTTAATAAAATACAAAGACTAATGATCAAGTGGCACGGGACAAAGAGTCTCTCTAAAGGCAAAATGATTCATAATGATGATCTTTAAAACAAAAGGTCTGCAAATTCGTTGCATTCTTCATGGGAGTTTAGGGCTGTCTTTAATGTAAATCGAGCTGCAAAAGGACACGAGCTGATTGGCAAAATCTCTTCAAAGGCAAAAATAACTTTAAAAAAACAAAAGGTCCTCAAATACGTTGCATTCCTCACAGGAGGTGAGGACCGGCTCGATGTAAATCGAACTGCGAAGAACACGCTGGCTCTGACAAACGTTTTGAGAATACAACCCTGTTCCTTGATTAGCTACCGTATAAAATTCATTTTACAAAGGAAAAGATAACACTGAAAAGCCTGGTTCTGAGTCGAGAAACGAACAAGCTACATCAATGTAAATAGAACTGGAAGAACAAGCTGGTTCTGACAAAAATGGAACGTAAAGCCCTATTCCATGATCAGCTGCTGCTTTAAACTCAATTTATGAAGCAAACCAGATCACTAATAGCCCTTTCAAATCTAGAAATCGTATTAAAGCTTGCTCACCTGTTAGGGCCTCTTGAACAGAAAACATGCAGCTGTAGAAGGGATCACCCAAGTTTCGAACCACGGAGTTGAAATTTCACGCCTTTTACCATTTCATTAATTAAGAAACTCCGCTGGTGATGAAAAACATTCCACACACATAAAACATCTATTTCGCGCGTTTTCGCGGCTGAGAAGGTAACCCGGTCTGGTAGACCAGGCTACCCGCCTTGGCGGGTCACCCCACCTATCATGTAAACGTGATCAAATTAAAATGAGAGAATATGGGGACTGGCGGGTTACCCCACCTAAGCGGGTTACCTCACCTACCTGGGGTCCCCCACCTCCATGTAAACAGGCCGAAAGGGCCTGTTTACGTGGAGTAGAGGACCCCGGTCTAGTGGAGTTGGTTTCTTTTGTTTTCACGCTCTGGGGGACACAAAACAAAAGAAACCTACCCCACTAGACCGGGGTCCCCCACTCAAAGTAAACAGGCTCTAAATTATCATATCTCTGTGAGCATATGGAAGTCAGCCAAGCGCGGTCATTGCACGCGTGCTGAAATGGAATGTATCGTGACAGACTAGAAACAATAGAAAACTCCCAAAGCACAAACTCAGCAAAAGAGCTAAAAATCTTCAATGTTTACTCAAGTTTGGGCTTATGGAAGATAATGGCTGCGGTCACATCTGGGCTGACTAACTATAGTTAAGACGGGGATAACTATAGTTAGCTATTTCGGTAATGTGACCGCTTCTCTGTTCGCTCTAACTATAGTTAGAAAATTTACGCCTCGGTGATCCAAAACAGTACAGACTAACTATAGTTATACCCAAGCAGGGCTCATGGGTTAGTCTTAATTAAGTTTACAAACAAATAACCAATCAGAATGTGACACTTCTTTTCGCTCGTGCGAGATAAGCATATAATATATACATTTAGCCAGGGCTAGAGCAAAGCCTCCGTTTCTCCTTATGATAAAAACAATCCAATTTAAGTAATAACATGAACTCTAAGCCCCCCAAAAAGAAATATTCACATCCCTAAAAGCCTTTGGCATCAGACACCTATAGAGGGAGGGGTAAATGATTAAGAAAAAATATCCCACAAACAAACCGGAATTGAAAAAATTGTTAAATGGTAGGTCTCTTAAGTAGCAGCAATTTACAGGTTACGATTTCTAGGGTCGGTGTTTCTGTGTTTAAGGGAAGACTTAAAAGAAAAATCAGGTCGTGACTCTTTTCTTTTTTTTTTTTAAAAAACGGGCCCGGACGAACATTTATGTGTAGCCTTCACATTTATACCTCAAAATATCTGAAACAAAATTTTACCGTAAGGTGTAAAATATTTTCTCTGAGGACATACATAGGAAAGCAAACGATAACCTTTTTCGCTACTACGGCCATCCTCCTTTTTTTCCTCCGTTTAGCGTCGTCTGACCAACCCAATTTTTGTCATTTTCAAAAAAAAAAAAAGTAGCGACGTAGTTGAACCATTTTTCAGTTGAAATAATTCTTTTAATCTCAGGCTCAGCTATAAATATATGCAAAATAAAAACCAAGCGTGAAGCGAGGGGGAAACCAAAAACAACAAACAAAAAATTTACATAGGCTAATTAGAAATAACTGTTGTCAACTGCGTGGTGTGACCGCAATGTCGACCGAAAGCACTAACTACAGTTGGGTATGACCAGGGTATGACATCACGTAACTTGACACTAACTTAAGTTAAACTTTAGTTACGTCGTATATGTGACTGCAGCCAATGTCACAGTTTTTCAATGACCATCAAATTCAGAATCCGGGTAGTTAGTTAATCATATGTGGCCCTGAAAAAATTTGAAGAAAAAAAAAACTACGAATTTTTAAGAAAATGCTTTTTTTGGAGAAGGTCTCTTTAAACGCTGACACTGTAGACAAATAGCTAAAACTATAATTTCTATATGTTCGCATTGTTCGAAATCGCACGCATTTACAAGGACCTAAAGCTTTTTGCTGACTTGCAAGGACCCATTTGTTATAAAGATCCCCAAAATAAAGGGATAAATCTCATAGTTTATTAGATATACCCTAAAATTCCGAAAATAAGCCCCAGGGCTTATGTTTTTCAAAGGCCCCTTTTTGAGGGGCTTATTTTTGGAGGGGCTTATATTCGGAGGGGCTTATCTACGGAGGGAAATTCGCGTTTCAAAATCGATTGGGCTAGCCTTATATTTGGAAGGAAATTTACCGTTTTTGCTTTGTTTTACTTTGTATTTGAGGGCAACGTTCCAAGTACAAGCCCCCGGGGGGCTTATATTTGGAGGGGCGATTTAACGGAGGGTTTTTTGCGTTACCGGTTTGGGGGGCTTATATTTGGAGGAGCTTATATATGGAGGGGCTTATTTTCGGAATTTTACGGTAATCGTGTAAAGTTTGCTTATCATTTTCACACAAATTGTGACTTGAATTTGCAAACCGCTGAATTTCTCGCATTGGGTCTTTGCGATTTTGATGAAACTCTCTTCAAAGCAAGGCAGTAATACTCACTATACGTAGCCGAGAGATTTTCACGAAAAAGTGCCGGCAACAGCAGAATTTCGATTCAGACCCCAAAGAGGCGTGGCACTATAACCACGTTACATTTACTCCGATCGCCGAAAGTTTTATGCTATATTGTAGATTAATCTATATGTTATCCATGCTATATGTTGGACTTACGATCAAAATAAAGGTGGGGTTACCAGAGAGCTTTAAAGTAGGATGGTACCCCCACAAAATAACTGGGTCGAGTCACCTCAACTTAATCGCCAGTCACCTGATCAGTTCACCGACGAAACAGTGTGTAGCAAATCGTGATCCGACGAAGACCGCTTTCCTGATCAACAGTGTTGCAGTTTTCTTACAAACCGTGATAATTCTTTTGACAACGATACCTTAAAATAACGATGCATGGACGGTAAGGACTTGTAACGTTCTTAGTGATGATGAGGGTTTTTTCGCTCTGCTTTGAGTTAAGGCAGTGCAGGATCTTGTGCTAGGCCCACACTGTACCTAGAGGTTCATGTATCATGAGTCATTGATATTCGATATTCAGTTGAGGGAATAAGCAACCTTAACTGATCATCGTAAAATACGGTCTAGTTCTGATTTTCGGTAATCTTTTTAGTAGCTTTACTTTACTTTTTACGTTCATTTCTACGTACACGTATAGCACGGACGCCAATAACTTGATATTGGTTCTTTAAAATGCAGGAGAGCACAAAGTGAGTTTGGCGATATACAGTGGTGTTCCTAATAATGTTTGGACGGTTCACTCTCATCATAAGAACTTTGAGAAAATGAAAAGTCATCTGCACAGCGCCAGGACTGCCGGGACGTCCTACCGTCATGAACACATGCCCTCCATCGTTGGGTACAAAGGCTTGCTAGTGCATCCACCAGAGGCCAAGGAGGCAGAATTGGTGGTAGGCCAAGAAACGAAGGAACTACAAAAAGCTATAGCTTGAAACTGCGCCAGAAGGGCTGATATCCGGCGCCTTGCGCCAGAAGATTTTGCAGGCAATCGAATCGACAAGTGTTTCTCTTCAGACCGCAAGCGCTCCGCGCCAAGAGGTTTTGCAGGCTCCCATCACAGGAGACAAATTTGATGGCAAAATAAAACATTATGCACCTAAACTCAACCTGGGTCGGTGGAACTTCAGCCCTACAGTCCAATCTAGCAAAAACTGCTACAACTATGCAAACGACAAAATTACCGACAGCTATGCACAGCCTGGTACTGCCAGCGGTGCTCCTTTCAAGTCAATCACTGCAAAAGCGATGCTTCGGGCTTCCGAAAGCGATGGTTTAGTGAAACTGGATGTTGCACCAAAAGATTCTTGTCCCAAAGCACCGCAACAACCTAAATGCTTAGTGGCACTCGTTGTTGCCGAAGGTTAGAAAAAAATTCATTCTTCTATGTAATTAACCCTCAAATTACTTTTTAACGAAGAAAATCATGAAAGCTGGGCATTTGAACTTCTTTACGAGTGCTTAGTCATAAATTATGCTTGAAAGAGTAGGTCCGCTGTCACGATCGTTTTACCGCTCTTATTGCGTAGAGCTTTACTGATGCATACAACCCTTTTGCATAATGGGAAAGAGAAAAAGGGAATAAATTTCTGGTTCTTGCTCTTCAATGCAGATTTAGGACTTAAAAAACTGGTCGATTTTTACGGTTATTATAGTCCATTTCCATCCACACTATTCGTAGCAACAGGCCACTGTAAATATTTAGACTCAATTCAGGAACACTACTCGTAGAAATTAGTTTCTATTTGATTCGCTGTTCCCAACCTTTTTTGCTTTCGTTGCTTTGCTGTTTAGGTGTTGATTTTCATTGGTATCGTCTGGATGATAACGAGCGCTGGTCCCATAAGCCTGGGCCGTCTCCTGCCACTATCTACGATGGAATGGGAAAATTGATTTATGGTCCAAGGAAAACCGCCAATTCCAAACATGGTCCACATTACAAGTTTGTTTCCTTTATGGAGATTTTTACAAATATAATAGATGGTCCTGATGGCCCACATTCTTCATAAGCAACAGATCTTTTGTATCCAGCAAAAGCTTTGACTTAAACTAATTATTAGGAACTAATTTTAACGGTATGATTTCTTGTAGTACTCCGCAAAGGATCTTTTGAATCCTCAAAGAACTTTGATCAAGGCCGAATTTTAAACTAGATCTCTTTAGCTTAAGAATATCGCTACTTGTTACGTGTTTAACCTTTGTAAAATTATTTTACAGATATTAATACGTTTTAGCCTGCTGCTTAGGGTGATTTCTTGAAAACTTTCGACAGTTGGATATTTTTTTCCTACTGTTTCACTCTTACCAAACAACAAAATCATTTTAGGTCAGATGGGCCTATAGAGGTTGAAACACGGTTTTAAAAAAAAGCGGCGAAAACGACGAAGCGGCAATAACCTCGATCAACTGTCAAAAATCCCTCTTAAGTTTTAAAAACAACTAAGTAAGCGCAATAGAAAGCTTTCGCTACGCTTTTGCAGAAATTGATATTCTTACTATTGCATTTTATAACATCGTAAGACGATATTCTAAAAAGGGGCGACCGCCAACCGTGAAACCCATTTTAATCTGGCAAATTGCACACTCCTCGAGTCAAAAGTTTAAAAACACTGGATAATTAACTAAAAGAAATTAGTCGTCCAAATGTTTCAAAACTGGTGCTATCCCGGATGTATTTTGGACTTTTTGAATTTAAGCCTGACAGGGATCGGTTATTTTTCAACGGGTGTTCATTATGGCAGGTCGTTGTTTTCTTGGGTTAGTGCTCTTGTTGGTTTGTGTTTTTCGGGGCGCTTGGCTGAGCCATATCACAAACGCTCAAGTAGGTAAGGCGAAAACTAACAACAAAGGTAGACATTACAAATATCGTCAGTGTTGGATCCTGAATTACATACATTTTTTCAATTTAACTATTCGGTCAGCTACTCGCTGACCCTCAGCCCGAGCGAGTTATATGCCACCTGCAATTGTGTAACTGTATGTAAGCATTGTTAATTTTGCGCAATCGTGGCCTACTTTCCCATTTTTGTAAGAATTGACGCGATGCTCGGCAACTCGGGTAATTAACACACATTGCACAATAAAGATGGCTTAAACCCAACTGAATTGCTGTTTTCTCGGTTTTTGGAGTTTCCCATCTGAGTCTAATTCCTGGCTTCAGTTGCATGCCGGGAAACTGAGGCGAAAGCTAAATCTGGAGCTTCAAGCACTTATTCAAAAAAATGAGTAATGCTTTATTATCCGAGCGTTTTCCGCTGGTGGGTATCATATGCTGACTATTGCATTAATGTGCTTCTCTTCAATCAGATTTTATTTTGGCTTTTGGACTCACCTGCATGGCTTAGAGCAACAACCTTTAACATGATGAACGCTTGAATTCTTCAATATAATCTTAGGACGCTAAAAGTAACTTTAAATTTTACTGTTTATGCTTAGATGTTTTTCATGTTTAAGTATATTTAAACGCCTGTTTGCCTAATTTTTTCTAGCCTGCGTAGCAAGCGTTTTCCGTGCGAGTTCGTCGAGAAAAGTTGGGACGAGAGCAAAAAAAAAAAAAAGGCGGGGGAGCAGTCATCTTTGTTTACTCTCTTGCGCGCGGCAAGAATCCTGAACACCAAAGATTCAACCAGCCAATCAGACAAAAATCGCCTTTGTTCTTTTGTATCCATTCGTCATCAGCCAAGGGTTCATCGGCATATGCAATGTCATTTTCCGGGCTTTCACATGAAACTTGCGACTCGCAATCACTTTGTTCATCCTCCACTTCAGCCAAATTTGCCTCAGAATCTTCTGAATTAAAACTTCTCCCAGAAGTTGAATCACTTAAAGACATATTCCGTTGATTTTTGGTCGTTTTAGTATCCCGCTCCCTTAAAATAATTTCCCCTTTCTCGCTTCTCGGTCATTTACTCATGATTTTGCGGCAGATGTCTTCCTTCGATGACGTCACAACAACATTCGTACCCGCGTAACAGTCCTATTCCTCCTCGCTCAGCAAAGCAAATAAGCGAATCCTTTAGAAGAAACGGACACTAAAAAGGCATTTAGGTGAAAAATAAAAGAAACTCTGTACGCTGTGTAATTCCTGAAGCAGGCTATAGAAAAACTGGAGACTGAACTGCTTCTTCTCAAAGAAGTCAACATTCGTGACTGAAACGCCCTTTCAGTTTGAGGAATGATATTTAGAATCGTTACAGCAGAGATTTTGCACAGAAAACAAAACAAAAAGAATAGAGAAAACTATATTTTCGTACGGAAATGAAATTTACATACTGCATGTCTCGCCTTAACTTGAAAGGTTGAGCATTAAGGTGGCTCCTTCGTAAGGTAAGAGACCTAAAACTTCTTTAAGAAAGACTTCTACCCAGAAGTATGAAATACCTCAAAATTGTCCTTTTTCCCTCCCCTTTCCCACGGTGATCGCATTCCTTCGTCTTAAAAAATCTCCGCTGATCATTGGAATTGTAGATCGAACAAAGATGAATGGTGACCAGCCACTTCCATTCAGCGAGTCAGAGCTGCCTCTGTTTCGTATATAAATTTCCGCGGTGATAGCTCAGGTATGGATCAATCTTCATCGGCAACATATAATGTCTTTTACACAGTGAGATTTTCGTTTCATAAATATTTTACAACTTTTTCTATTTCTTTCTTTTTTTCAATCACTTTTCAATCATTTCTTTCTATACTTTTTGTTACCCACGACATTTATCTCTACCCACTACGCACGACCCACGACATTTAGCTACACTCGATATTATGAATACGTTGTATATCCTGGTTGAGGAGACCGAGATTGTACGTCTCGTGGGAGGAACATACCGTAAAATTCCGAAAATAAACCCCGGGGCTTATATTTTTCAAAGGCCCTTTTTGAGGGGCTTATTTTTGGAGGGGCTTCTATTCGGTAGGGCTTACCTACGGAGGGAAATTTGCGTCTCAAACTCGATAGGGCTAGCCTTATAGTTGGAACTAAATTTACCATTTTTCTTTGTTGTGCTTTGTATTTGAGGGCAATTTTCCAGGTACAAGCCCCTGGGGGGATAATATTTGGAGGGGCGATTTAACTAAGGGTTTTTTGCGTTACCGGTTTGGGGGCCTTATATTTGGAGGGGCTTATACATGGAGGGGCTTAATTTCGGAATTTTACGGTATACGTCGTATTCTCAGGGCAGGGCTGAATGGAAAAGCTCGTTTAGTGTGTAAGGGGTAACATGGTCATGAGCGTAAAAGGTACTGATGTTCGGTTGTAGGTTTAGTATAAAGAACAATTTCAGTGATCGATACCATCACAGAGGGAGACCTTGACGTAGAGAAAGGAGAAAGATTTGAATGAACTGTGTGATATAAATTTAATAGTGGGATGAAGGGTATTAAGGTAAGAAATGGAATATTACGTTTATAGTGAGAATGATCGCATGAATTTGAGGAGGTCGCAAAGACACTGTGTGTATGGTGGATGTACAGCGGTCATTAGAAGTGGCAGCATGCGCCAATAATACCCTCATCGTTCTCTCATCCTACTGTGTTTATATCTATACCTCTCGTTTCCTTCCGACGACTACTAACAATCCGGAAGTCCGCGATTCGAGGACTTTCTGTTTCGGAACCAGAGCTCTCGATCAGTGATACTAAACCGAGATCGACAACTGTTTTCAATTGTCTGTTCTGTTATCGACAATAGCTCTCGATCAATCAGCGGGTGAAAAGTCGCTCAGCCATTGTAAAAAAAATAACTGCAACTAATTATTTTATCGGCAGTTGTAATAAAACAGTCATTTCTTTAGGTTCCGTACTAGGTTCCGCAAGTTCCGTAGTTCCACGGTCTGCAATTCCACGGATTAGTCTTAGGTTGTAGAAAATAGTAATGTTAACAATGTTAAGTCTGAAAAACACTTTACAGACGCATTCTTCACTGATTGGAACCATTTTCTTTACCCCAGTACAGTAAAATGTATGAAAAAGAATTGAACCTCGATATTGCGAAACCTCGTTACCATGGTTACAGCGACCAAATTTTGCCAGTCCCTTGGTCTTCGTTATTTGGAGATTCCACTTTAAATGAAAATAACGGCAAAACCGTTTTTAAGTTTCTCAACACGGTGATGCCAAAAACCCTTCAGGGGTATCTAAAGGGAGCTTTTTATAAATTTTATAAATAATTGGATTATACTCTTCATTTCATTTTTCCTTTTTCTGTATTTGCTGGCTGCGGTAGGGAAGAACAGTTCCATGATATCCACGTTTAAATAAATCAAAAATTACTTGCACGTAAAACTAGCGTTTAATTTTACCAGGCTGTCGAATTTTCCTGTTCCCAAACAAACTCTATCATTCATTTCAACGATGTTCGGATCTTAAGTCCGAAGGGCAATTTTTTGGCATTCGTTTGTTTGGCAACTTTCCGTTGGTCAATTTAGCTTGGAATTGCTCCAGTTATTGGGTCAATTTTATTAAGCAGGTGAATGTCTTTTCATCGATAAACTTAAAACTCTTTGTGTTTAAATTTTTCATCTTTTTATAGCTACCAGCTTACCGCTGTCACATTTCTAGCGTAAAATATTATTACTTAACTTTCTTTTCATATAATAACGCGTATATTGTCGGGTTACCCACTGGGGCAGCTTTATAGACGATTAAGCAGCCTTTTCCATGTAAAATTTGTATTCGATATAACTTTATGTCTATCTATAACTATAACTAATAACGACAGCTAAGTGCAAAGGAAATTCATTTACGATATTTATAACATAACTAAGATAGTAGGCACGTTCTGATTGGTAAAAAAACCTATGGTTTATTGCGCCGGTTAACTCATAGTTTACTTAACGTTATTTCATAAAAGCAATAGATTACACTTTCTATGGGTTTACCGGCGTGATACCCACTTGTCTATTACTTGAATAAATTATACTCACTCAAGCTTATTCATGGAAGCTTATTCCCCGCAATGCACTGTAAATAAACAAGGTATTGACGCAAAACGAGCGACTACTCGTAGTCTACAAAA